CGGTTCCACGGATGGCGCGGGGCGCTTCTTGCTCTTCTGCGTGCCCAGCTCGTAGACAATGAACGCGTCATTGTCTGCCTCCTGCAACGCCGCCTCCCACTCGAGGGCGTTGTCCTCGTTGTGGTAGGTAGAACACCACAAGTGGTTCGCCACCTTTTCCTTCACGATGTCCCTGTCAGGGTCCGAGAAGATGCACGAGCCAGCTTTCTTGCAATCGCCGCGAGGGCAAAAGCCGCGCCACAGCCATTCACTCCCGCTGGAACTCGCGGCCTCCGACGGCCCATCCATCGCTGCCCGCCGAGCGCGCCTTGGCCCTTGGCCGCTGAGAAAGAAAACCGTTCTAAACAGATTGAGCCCAGACGAATGCAGATGACTACTCGCGCGGCCCGCCCCATGGAGCGAATGCAATCGCTGAGAGGAAATGCAACGGGCAGGGGTGCAAGGATGCCGACGCATCGAATGGGGGCTGAGCGAGGAGGTCGAGCAAGCCGAGGCGACCGAAGGGGGGAGAGAACGGCCCGCCGCATCTGGGGCACTTCTTTGCGCCAGTAACTTCCCACGAGGGGCTCGCCAAATCTGGGGGCCTTCATTGCGTCAATAACATCCCACGAAGGGACCGCCAAATCTGGGACCCATTTTTGGCGTCAGTAAATTCCTAAAGGGCCCGCCCAAAAACTGAGACCAGAGATTTTGGCCTGGGTCGCTGCGGAGATTTTGACCTACGAACGGCGCCCGTGGCGTGGATCGCCGCGGAGATTTTGGCCTGGATCGCGGCGGAGGGCGGCGTGGGGATTTTGGCCTGGATCGCGACGAAGAGAGGAGAGATAGACGAGAGAGGTGACCTGCATAGCGATTCAATCGCTTGTGAACTGCATAGCGAGTCAATCGCTGTTTTTTTTTCTCAAATGTCCTCGAGGTCATGAGGGTCCCAGGCGGCCTGCGCCCGCGGCGCCCGCGTGCCTTCGGGGGCGCTGCCCTTGCTGCCCTTGCCGTCCTTGCCGCCCTTGCTGCGCTCGGAGAAGGCGCCGCCCTTGCTCTGCTCCTGGCCTTTGCCGCTCCTGGAAGAGGCGCCCTTGCCGCCGCCCATGCCCTTGTAGTCCGAAGGCCGCTTCGGCACGTGGCCTGCTTGCCAGCCCCAGCCGCCGTAGCCGTACTTCTCCTCGAAGAACTCCCTGGACGTGCCACCGCGTTTCTTCCAACGCCGCTCGCCTTCTGACCATCTGTTGCCGCGCCACATCGTCGGCCCCCCCTCGCTTGGAGGAGGCGGGCCGCGCATGGCCCATGGCACGGCGAACTGCTTTGCCATGTCCTCCTCGTCCTTGAGAGCCTGCGGGGTGTTCCACAGGAAGGTCATCCTCGCTTGCTTGCGCCTCGGGTTCTCCGCGTCGCCGTCGCTGTCGGGCTCGCCCTTGCCGCTGGCGCGCCACCCGCCCTCGCAGCCTTTGCCATTGTCGGCGGCGCTCCGCCCCTCGGACTCTGAGTCTGAGATGGGACTCATGCGGGGCTCTGAGTTTGAGGTTGGATTCATGCGCGATTCGTTGCCAGCGCCCCCGCTCTCCTGGGCCCCATCCTGGAACTGCGCAAAGGGGTCGCCCAAAGACAGCAACGATTGCAGTGACCTCTCCGCGTCGTCGGCCATTGTCGCTGGCGCGGCCGCCGAGGCCTTGAGCCGAGGCCTTGAGCCGAAATGGCAATGCGAAGGCACGGTCGCAGGGGCGCTCCGCGAGCAAGCGAATGCATCGCTGACACAGGGTTGAGGTGAAGGGAGCGCTGCTTCGATGGGAGGTCGGAGGAAAGCGAATGCATCGCTGACGCAGGGTTGGGGGTTGGCTTGAGGGGTCGAGGCCTCATCCATAACTCTCCCCTCTCACCCTCCTCTCTTCCCTCTCCCCTCTCACCCCTCTCACCCCTCTCACCCCTCCTACCCCTCTCCAAGTCAGCGGTCCATCACTCTCCCCTCTCACCCCTCTCACCCTGTCTATCCCCAAGCGAATGAATCGCTTAGCGAGTGGATCGCTGTTTTTTTTTGTCATCGCAGGCAACGGTAAGGCACGCCCTCACAAGAGTAAAAGTGAGCGGCAGGGTTCCCTGGGGCGCTCGCGCGGCTTACCCAAACGCTAGGATGCGCTCTCCAGGGCCCCATATACAGAAGCGCGGTAGCGAAATGCATTGGACGCTCTGTCCGAAACACCGTAGCATGACTATGAGCGTGCGGCGTGTGGCACGGCTCAGGCCGAAATACATCTGGCAAAGTGCGTGGCGGACCCAGCGCGGCCGAGAGCGCCTCAGGAAACCTACACACATTATGAGCTACTTACCCAGCAGCTTTGAAATCCTGAGCCGCTCTTTGCAACTCGAGCACCCCTTTTTGGCGTAACGACACTTCGAACACCCGAGCTTCTTGATGGGCTTGAACAGGGGTGACACGGTGACGCCCTTCCCGTGGCCTTCGCCCGTCGTCTTAGCCCCAGCCTTCGTCGCCTTTGCTTTCGCCTTCCCCTTTGCCTTCCCCTTTGCCTTCGGCTTCGGGCCCCCCCCCTTCTCCTTGGCCACGAGTCCGTGCAGGATGTCCTCGGTGACCGAGGCGACGTCCTCCTTCTTGGGGGGAGTCACGTTCTTTTTGGCGACGCTGGCTGCTGCAGGCGCCCCTGGCGACGGTGGCGTTGGCGCTGCTGGCGACGGTGCCCCTTCTGAGGCGGAAGATGGAAGAGAACTCGGGGCAGCGTCCTCCACGGCTGCGAACGCCGAGGCCGCGGCACGTTTCGCGCCGCCTCCCAGGATCTTGAGGCTCAAAGGGCCCGTCTGAGCGCCGACGTCCGCCCGCCGCAAGTTATCGAACATGAGCTGCATCATCTGCAAAACGTCGGGCTGCGACGCCGAGGCGCTCATCATCTGCGCCCCCGTGGCCTGCTGCTTTGTGTTGCGGCATGGGTACGTAGCCTGGACGGAGCGAATCGCGGCTTCTGGCGCGGGGCATGCAGCTGGCAACTCGTCGCCATACACTTGCTTGAAGAAGCCAGGGTGGTCCTCGCAGAACGTCGAGGGGGACGTAGGCAGCTCGGTCAGCCGAACGGGGGGCGCAGGAAGCCTCGAAACCTTCGTGGGTGAAATTGCGGCCAGGGGAAACTGCCTCCTCCTCCTCCTCCCCCTCCTCCTCCTCCTCCCCCACCCTCCCTTCTCCTAGGTCCCCCTCCCCTCGACGAGGGCCGCAATTTCAGCTGCAGCCTGGCGCTTGAACACGCGCTTGGTCTGCTGGAGGTACGAGTACTTTGCAGCCCACGCCAAATTCTTCGCGGTCTCGGCTCCGTCCACGGCCATGCGCCACATCGCCGTCAACATCTGATACGTGCCTTCGGTCGGGTTGCGAAGACCTAAGCTAATCGCAACATCAACCAGCACGTTGAGCTTCGCTTCCTCGGGCACGTCGGTCCGCGCCAACTGGTGCCACGAGCCCGCTGTCAGGTACCCGAAGATGCACTCATAATCCTGCTGAGCCATTCGCAAACCCACGGCGCTGCCAGAAGCCACGATGCTGCCGAGCTTCTCCAACAGCCTCCCCTTGGAAACCTCGGACCAGGGTTGCGCTGCGACGAGAGACGAGAGGGTTGTCACCTGCGTGGGCTGCAGCCTCGCGCTCCCGAAAGCCTGCACGAGCATCCTTTCCTGCGCGGCCGCCACCGTATCGAAACAGGGCTGCCCTTGCACTGCCTCGAGCAATCGCCCGACGGCCTCGACTTGGTCGCGCAAGCGCTGGGCAGCCATGGCTATGCGGCCCCACCCACCCAAAAAAAAACGCGCGGGCTTGCGTATGCAAACGGCTTCGAATGATGGCGCAGTGGGGGCGGCATGGGCAGGGGCCTCATAGCGAATTCATCGCTTATAGCGAATTGATCGCTCAGATAATTGCACAGCGAATTGATCGCTCAGAGAACCACATAGCGAATTCATCGCTTATAGCGAATTGATCGCTCAGATAATTGCACAGCGAATTGATCGCTCAGAGAACCACATAGCGAATTTATCGCTCATACCCAGGAATGCGTTAGCGAATGCATCGCTGTCCTCCTCCTTCCCCCCTCCTTTCTTCTCGCCGTCCTACTGGCTCACTACCGAACCACAGGGGGGGAGGGGAGGGGAGGGGCATGGAAATTGAAGAAGTTATGAAAGTTATGAAAGTTATAAGATGGTTATATGTCGATTATAAATTGTTGTGTAAGTATGGTTAGGGGCACCGTGTAAGTATAGTTGCGGCTTCGGTATGTACATTTGCATCTGAGACAGCTACATCTATAAGTGTGATAAGGCACTCTACTTTGCTCAACCGAAGTCGCTACGCCAGTGGGCGGGCTTCGCACTGGTTCGGCGATGTTCCCGGGGGCAAGCGCGGAACCCACCGGGGGCGGAGAAGAGCCGGCTGGGGCATGGTCGTTATGGAGCCCATTGATGGCGACTGGAAAATGATTGCTCGCACCATTTCGGGCGCCCCAGGCGGACGGCGATAAGCACCTCGAGTTGAACTATAAGCTCGCGCCGTCGCGTTGGAGGCTGCCAGCGGCGACGCCGCGCGCCCGACTGATCATCGTTTCTTTGGGCAGCTATGGCGCGAAGCAAGAATGTGCCGCTTGATCGGCAAGTAGCGCGAATCCCAATGTGGGCGATGGCCACTGGAGCTGTCAATGCAAGACCCCAGCGCGGATCAGCGTGGAGTGGGCGCCGTCGCATCGGGGCGTGGAGGGCGTTGGCCCCGCCGACCCCGTCTCCGCGGTGGGGGTCGGTTTCGCGGGTGCTTTCGCCGCGGTCGCTGCGGCGGCGTCGGCGGCCGGGGTCATTGCTCCGTCGCCGCGCGCGGGCGGAGCGCCATCCGCGCGCTCGTCAGGCCGCGGGCGAGGAAATCACCGGCGGATGCCGTCGGCGCTGGCCGTCGGCGCGCAAAGCGGCCGTTTGCCGCCGAAGCTGCGCCCAGAGCAATGGCGCGCGACTTCGGCGACGCTGTGCGCGAGATGGTCAAATTAAGGAACGCGTGGAATGGCGCAGCGCGCAGGCAGCGCACCACCTCCGGCAACCTCATCCAGGTCGTGGGCACCCCCTGTTATGCCACTTTCCCTGTGGCACAGGAGGTCACGGACGCGCCGAAAGGACGGGTCATGGGGAAAAGCGCATTCCATGACGTGCGCAGCTTGCAGGAGTGGCCATGTGGGGCGCGGCGCACTGCGTGGAGAGTGCGGCCTACGGCGCGACGACTGGCACGGGGCATCGCGAACCTTGTGCACAGGAGAGCGCCTGGTAGGCCGGGCCCTCCCAACTCGGCAATCGAGGCGGCGCAAGCGAGAGGTCCAGAGGCTGCATGGCCACGAGTTACAGTCATAACGTTACTCACAGACGCCGGCCCCGAATGTCCAGACCCTGAGTCCCGAGGCTAAAGCGAGGGCGGCTGCGAGGAAAGCGTCGGCTACGACGCAGGCGGCAGGTTTCGGGCACGCGATTGAAATTGTCCGACCAGAACCACTGCGAGAGATTGTGCATGGTTGGTTTCCTTTGCTGCGGCCGCTGCCGCCGATGTAGATGACGGCCCAATGTCGCCACATGCTTTGTTGGAGCATGGCACTGCCCTGGCGACGGCAAGCGCCTCCTCGACGACGGCGGCGCCATCGAGGGTGCGACGACCTGCGGCCGATTCCCGCGGCCATTGTGGCGACGTGGAGTTGGTGCTCGAGCAGGGCCTCCTCGACCTCGACAGGTTCCTGCTCCACTTTGCCGACGGCAGGGCCGAGTGCGAGGTCCCTTCGCGCGGCCCTGTCGCGCCCGCTTTCGCGCCCGCCCCCGACCTGGCGCGCGCAGGTGAAGGAAACCCAGCGCGAATTGCGCAAGGCAGCTCGGCCGATGTCACTGGTGTCCCCCATGTCAGGCATGGGTTTCGGTATTTCTCTTGGGTTGGGGGCCACCGTCGTGGGAGAGCCTAAAGTAATCATCCCTCCTTTTCCCTTCCCTTCTTCTCCTCCGCCTCCTCCTCCGTTTCCTCCTCCTCCTCTCTCTCTCTCTCTCTCCCCCTTTTTCAAGCGGAACCTGAAACAATCACCCAGACCACTCAGATCAGCTTAGGATCGCGAAATGCTCGCCTGATTCTTTGGCCGCGACGGTGTCCGCAGCGCGTGCTCTGCTTTGTCGCCACCCTGTCTCTGACGAGCTGGCGTCCTCCTTCTCGTCCTCCAATTCCTCCTCCCCCTCCTCCTCATCCTCCCTCTTCCTCCCTCTTCCTCCCTTCCCCTCCTCCCTCCTCCTCCTCCTCCTCCTCCTTCCTCCTTCCTTCTCCTCCACCTCCTCCTCCTCCTTCTCGTCCTCCTCTTCCTCCTCCTCCTTTTCCTCCTCCTTTTGCTCCTCCTCCTCGTCCTCCTCGTCCTCCCCAAACAATTACACAAAATGAATACTACTCTCCCTCTTCCCCTGATGGCGTGCTGGGAGTAGTAGACCCCCCCTCCCGCGTATTGTTTTTTAACAAACAGGATTCCTGGGAGTTGGGTTTTCGCCTGCGTTTTTTTCAAAATGCTGCTCTCGCTGAGGCGCCGGCCTCATTTCTGCTCCCGAATCGTTCCGAATCGTGCTCCCGCTGCAGCGTGGGCCTCATTTTCGGATCGGTGTTTGGCCTCCGTCGTTCAGGATGGCGTTCTCGCCCCAGCGCGGGCCTCTTTCTCGCGCGCCCATCCGCCCGCCACCACTGCGCCGCACCACCACCACCACCACCACCACCACCACCACCACCACCACCCACCACCACCACCACCACACACACCACCACCCACCACCAGCACCACCACACCACCACCATCACCACCACCACCACACCACCACCACAACCACGCACACACGCACGCACGCACGCGCACCACCACCCACTACGCACGCGCGCGCGGAGCCACAGGTCCGCTACGACACGCGTCCGCGGATAGAGAAAATCAACGCCATGGTAAGGGATTGGAGGGAGGGGTAGAACGTCAGATATGACGCGAGCGCACCTAGCTTGAGTCCTCCCCCTCCTTGAGACAAAAATGGCTAGGTAAACTGCCGCTTCAAGCAAATATCATAATGTAGCGATAGTGTACCGAAAATGTTTAAACCGCACGTTACTGAAATGTTTATGTTCGTGTTGTCTCCAAATGGAGCCGAAGGTTCGACACGTTTTGGAGAGGTTTCTCGGACTCCGAGTGGACGATGAGTTCCCGCGGGCGGAGCCTTCTGATGCGAGAGCAACTTCAATGGCGAAACCTAAGCATGAACCCAAATGGCGGTGGTGTTGAGGAGGAGAAGGAAGCGGGAGTGGAGGAGCACGACGACTACGACGACGATGACAGCGACGAGCAACAAGAACGTGAGGCGGAAGAGTATTTTCAGTTGGATAAGTCTGCTGTCTCGAGGTTCCTCGGGGGAAATCCGCAGGGCGTCGGGCGCGAAGGTGTCAAGCTTGCCTGGGGGCGCGAAGATTCAGCAGTTAACCAGTGACGCCCTGGGCCCTAGATGCAACAGGTGCGCGGGCTCTGTCCGAGAATGTCTTCGGGGCGCTGGCATGATGAGGGGGTCGTGGGGTCCACAAGGCAGCATCCGTAACCATTTTGGCTCAAACCAAGCTCGCACCTCGCCCTCTTCCCTCAACGGCATTGTTCAGATGCCGTGGGCTCACCTTGGGAAGTTGCTTTCGGATCAATGTAGTGGCGAGGAGGCTGGCACTGGCGACGGTGAGCCTCCCGTTGTTGAGCCTTGGGCTGGCTTGCAGGCTGCCATTGCCAGTGAGTGTCTTGATGAGGAGGCTGGCGCTGGCGACGTGGAACCTCCCGTTGTGGGCCACTGGGCTGGCCTCGAGGCTGCCATTGCCAGTGAGTGTCTTGACGACGTGGAGGCTGACGCTGGCGACGAGGGCCGAGCTGGCGTCGATGTGCCGCCGCGACATTTGACGCCCAAGGCATTCCTCAGGCTCGGTAAAGAGAGCTTGGGCGATGACAGTTGCTTGGCGCCTGACGATGGTGCTGGCGGGCCAGCTGTCGGTCCAGATGGTGCCCCGCACGCTGCGGCGGACCTGGCGATAGTTCCCCTTCCGTTGCCAGACGCTGCCGCTGAGGACCCTGATGACATCGGCCCAGTTGAAGATATTGTCATCGCAGGTGCTTCTTTACGTGCGGTGTCTGTGTTATGGGGGCGGGTCCGCCAGTGCGACGCGCGAGAGCTTACGGATGCAGTCTCCATGCGGATTGCCGACCATTACTTGTCCACGAAACGTTCGCATGCCAGCTTGAAGGTAGAGGCCGGCATGTTGGGCACGACGCCGTTCATGTTGTCGTCACGGCGACGGTGTCTTGCCATGGCAGGCTTGTCGATTCTGCATTCAGACGCGATCAATGGGATGCAGCAGATTATTTCGAACACGCGCAAAGCTGGAGGAAAGCTGCTTCTCTTTACGGAATCGTGCCACTATGGCGAAACGCCCATGAGGTTGCGCGTCTCCGACGTCGAGTTCAATGCAGTTTTGATGGCGAGCTCCACACTTTCGCCTGAAGAGGAGAGGCTCGCGGCATCACTCCGTGAAGTTTCGCAGCAAAAGATTGTGGCAACGTTTTGGGTGTTCAGTCTCATGGTCGAGGTTGATGGGTATATCCAGACGTTTCGCTTCTCTCTGCCAGCGTGGCACCAGAGCGTGACCAGTAAGCACCCAGAATGTTACATGCAGTGTCTTGAAAAAAAACAGGCCGAAGTTGGGTGATGTACCTGGCTGCTTTGATCGACGCCAACGCCTTGTGACCACAGATGGCGATGCATCGTGCGCGGCCGCGGAGCGAGGCCTCTCTTGCACGTCTTTGTATAATAGGCTTGATTTCTTGCATTTGAAATGCGTCGTGCACAGGATGTCAAATATCCATAACAAGGTGATGGAATTTAGTAGTCGTGACATCAACGCAATCATTCACGCCTCGCGTGCCCCCGCCAGCCCATCCAACGATAGCCGCACTTCCTTTTGCCTTGGCGAGGGGTACTGGAAGCGACCTCGGGCATCTTGGAGGCCGCGTGGTCAGTCTTTGGACCCCCTTGGGGTTGTCTTGGAGGCCGTCGCGGGGCCGTATTGGAGCTTAGTGTTGCGCACTTCATGTCATATGGGCGGTTTCTTGGGAGTCCAGGGGGTGGCCATCTTGGAGCCACAACTGGTGCCATCAGTCAACGCGTGGAGGTGGGAGCTCATGTCGTTCCACCCCCCTCGAGGGTTGCGATCCCCGTGGGGTCGTCAAAAAGGCTTGCCCAATAAGCGAATAAGGACCCTTTGGCCGCTCGCGCCCTCCCCCCGTCCAGGGCAACAGGAGGGGGTCGGGCGCTGGTATTCCCCTGCCCGAAGGGTAAGAAGGAGTCTCGTTCGCCCGCCTGCCTCCCGCAGGGTATGTTGGATCATTGATGGATCTCATTCAATGTCAGGCGGTTTCGGCATGGCGCGGCTTCGCAGGGTGTTGAGAAAGCTTCTGAGGGACCGCCTCGGATACTTTCCAGGTGCGCCGCCAGAGAGTGACCTCGAGGAGAGACAGGCGTGGCTTGATTTGTTTTTTCACTGGGAAAGAACGTTCACAGAGATTGCGGCGCAAAATTGTTGAATCCTTATGCAATGGCAAATGGTCGCCCAGAAAAATCGAAAACGCTTCGCGTATCTCCGCAACGACACCCTAACCAACTAGCGCGGGCGCACATTGCAGACAACCGTGGTGCGGCGTTCGCTTCCCGCGGCGCCCGCGGTCGAGTGGTTGCGCGCTGCCAATCGGAAGCGTACTGGAGCGATATTGGAGCCGTTTCGGGCAGTTGGAATGTCCGTGGGCCGTTCTGGGCACCCCCGTTGGCCTTCCTGGGGTTCTGCCGTTGGTCGGTGGGCGCTCCAGGGGCTCTTTGAGAGGGCGGTGTTCTTGGATGCGCCTCGGTGCCGCATGCGCGCCCTCGGGCGCGAAGACAGCGGTTTTGGGCAAATCTCGGGCCACGCTCTGGCCGTCGGGCAATCTCGGCGCCCCGAGGGCTTGTCAGAAGCGAAGGTGTGAGAAGGGCAACCGCGCGCATTTTCGCGCCAGCGTGGAGGGGCGATCGGGCGTCGATTCGCTCTAGGGCCTACCTCGCCCCCCCCCCCCCCCCCCCCCCCCCCCCATCGGGCCCGCATTTGGGCTCGCGCGTGCCGTCGTGGGACCGCTCTGAGGTCCACTCCACCCGCTTTCGCGGAGTCCTGGGCCCCAGCTAGCTCTCCTCTGAGCTTGGCAGGGTGGCGAGGAGGAGGGGGGGAGGATGAGGGCGGTGATGGTGATTATGGTGAGGAGGGGGAGAAGGAGGATGCGCGGAGGGGGGGCAAGAGGAAGACAAGGCGCATGATGGGCCCAAGAGGGCTCCGCCGTGGGCCCCTGAGGCCTTCACCCCTGCACTCCTCGCACTCGAGCTTCACCTGCTCCTTCACTCCGTTCTCCTCCTCCCCCGCCTACCCCTGCTTCCACTGCTGCTCCTCATCCTCCCCATCCTCCCCTCCTCTTCCTCTCCAACATCCTGCTCGTCCTTCTCGGCCTCCCCATCCGACCTCCACGTGGCTTCCTTTTTTTCATGGGACGGGCGTCCTAGAGAACGCGGTACACGTCCTAAACCGCTCGGGCCCTAAGGGCTCGTGGATTCAACACCATTGCGCTGGGTGCTGCAACAGTGAGCAACATTGCAAGGAGAAGTTCGTTGTTTTTTCGTCAAGTGCATGGCTGGCGCAGCGCCCAATAGTTTCCCGAGGGATTCTTGGGCCGGTCACGACAAGCCACTGGATTGGATTGGCGGGTTAGCTTGCATCCACGGTATCTTTCAGGATGCCTATGTGAACTGGTGCGCCACATTCAAAGACGTTGTTGGTGACGTCGGCGCTGGAGGCGTCGATGGAGCTCCTGCAGGCGGCGCAGCTGCGCCCCCGATGCTGTTGGATGGCGACGCGGGGCCCCATCTGGGCATGGCAGAGGCCGCGGCGGCCGCCCCCGCAGCCCATGCGCCTGCCGACGGGGGCCAGCCCGATGCCCTGCCTGAGTGGAAGGTCCAGCAGCAGGAGCTGGCCCGTCGTCGCCAGCGAGTTCGGGACTGGATATCAAGGCCCACGTTCCTTGCTGAGACCATCGTGCTTCGTCGCGTCGCAGAAGTCCACAGGTTTGCGATGCAGAGTTTGTTGTGGATGAGCGGCTCGGCATGGGACCTTCGCCAACGTGCTGAGGAGGGCCGAGCTGTGCTGGCTGGTCGGTCTGGCTTCAATCTCCGATCATATCGAGCCTTGTCGTTGGCTTCGGGCGTCCCCGATGTCCAGGTGATCGGTCTGATCAAGCAGCTGATGAACTCTGGAGGCATGTGGCGTGTGCTCCCAGCCAATTGCAGGTCTCTCTCGTTGCGCCTGAAGGTGTTCAAGCAGCTATCCAGGTCACTGTGTCTCATGCTGGAGTTTCAGGCTCATAGGTCAACATGCCCTTTCAAGCCTTTTCGTTTACTTTTAGAGCCAGGTTTGATTGATGAGATTCTCGCAGAGGAGCACATGTGGGATGATTGGTTCGCATCCTTCCACTCGCACTGCACGAGCGGGGGCAGAGGTGGCGTCACGTCGACGATTGCACTGGCTGATCTTCGGTGCACGCTCTTGCTACTCATGCACGACACTGTGCCCGTTGAGGTCGGCCACAGTCGGTTTCGCAGGCAGCTGGAGGGGTCGAGCGTGCAGACTCATCGACAAGCCATCGAGGACGCCAGCGCCGCCGAGTTGCTGAGGCGGTTTCGCGCCTTCGAGCAGGCATTCCAGGACATTCGCGTGACTGGTGCGCCAGAGTCGGGCGCGGGAGGGCTCGCCGCGGCGCCAGCGGCCGCGCCCTCGGCCCAGGCGGCGAGTTCGTCGCAGGCGGCCGAGTCGGCCCCGAGCAGGAAGAGGCGGAGCCACGGCGGCGGCCCTTACCGCGCATTCTTATCCCAGAGGTTTAAGAACGTGGACGGCAAAGTCAACTGGGGCGGCAGCACTTCCGCCGATTACCGCCGTGACATGGCAGATCCAGTGAAACGGGAGGTGCTCATCGATGCTGGCAAGCGGGCGACCGAGCAAGTGCGGATGGGGGGCAAGAAGCCGTTCGGGCTTGGGAAGAGAGACATCGAGAGACAGAGCTTGAAGTCCGCCCGCGAAGCCCATGCAAAGCATGCGCTTGCCATGCACGATGCCAACCTGGAGCGCCAGGACGTCGCCCAGAGCATGTCGTTGATGCCACTTTCTGCCAGCGCCGCGTCGCCAGCAGACTCCTGGAAAGCCGTGTTGGACTTGAAGGCCGTTTGCTCCGCCCAGACGAAGATGCAGCAGGAGTTGAGGGCTGCCGAGGTGCGCTCGTTGGCAAACTATGCTCGGGATGCTGGTTTGGGATCGCGTTCCTTGCAGGTCGGAGCCGTCTGTGAGCAGAAGGCCGACCACTTGCCCATGCCGAACGGCTACCCGGCCTGCTACGACCACGAGTGGATGCCAGCAGGCGTCATGACGAAAAGCAAACAACTTTTGAGCATCAGCACCAGCAGCGTCGTCGGGCAGACGATCCAAAACAGGTTGTTCAAAACATGGGCGAAGTTGCACAAAATATGCGGTGGCCCCCGTCGACCAGAGATCATTGAGGCTGCGAGGAAGCTGGGCGACGTGAAGAAGAACCACCGTTGCAAGTTTCTGGGCTGTTGTGTGTGCGATGTGGGTGGCGCAGCTCACGTGGGCAAGGTCGCTGCAAAATTCAAAGCAGCTCTTCGTTCATCCGCTACGGCCTCAGCTGGTTTCAAACAGAAGCTGTTGGACGGGGACGTCGTCGCCGCATTCATTGGCAGGGACGTCGGCGCCGATGGCGGATTCACGGAGGGCGCCGACGATTCGGTTATTGTTTTGTGGGCCCACGTCGGTTGGCAGTGGCAGAGGCCTTGGGAGTCTCTTTTCCATTATGTCGAGGCCCCGCGGGGCGATGCAGCTCAGATTTCGCCATGGTGTTCAAGGCCCCGCAGGGTCACGAGCTTGTTAGATGGATCTGGCACAGTGAAATTTTTCTCGAAGCTGAACCTTGATAAGCGCTGGGACGTGAGCTTTTGGGAGTTGCGGCGCTCGCGTGGTATGCTCGGGAGTTTCGTCCCGAACGTGGCCGAGTGCGATCCCGCCATGCCCGTCAACCCCATTCATTTGTTGTGGATGCTTCGGCGCGGTCTTCCACCTGGCAAGCGGAAGAAGAGAGGCTGGAGCATTGATCTGTCGAAGTACGACGGCAGCGAGGATGACGACTTCGACGGTGAGGACGTCGTGGCCGACGGCGTTGATGCGGCCGTCGACGATGAGCTCGATGGGGGCCGCGTCGAGGGCCCAGGATTCGACATTGCTGCTGCCGACGCGGCGGGTGATCCTATCGACTTACCGCCCGAACCTGCAGCAGATCACGTTGCCGTGGGCGGCGCTGCTGTCAGTGAGGCTGGCACTGAGTCAGAGCGTGAGATGGATGTCATCTTTGGTGAAGGCGTTGGGCCGCTTGAGCCTGATGCAGCAGATGACGTCGGCCTTGGCGGCGGGGCCGCGCCGCCCCCGCCGCCGCCGCCGCCGCCGCCCGCGGCCGCCCCAGATGACGACGACGGTGAGATATCTGATCCAGAGTACCCAGAATCAGACCCTGAAGTGAACGTTGTCAGGGCAAAGTTCGGCATCCATTCTTCAGTATATTATAAGAAAAAGCGAACTTTTTACGCTGAGTGCGGCAGGAGGGAGTGTCACGGCAATACGTGTAGGAAAAACCGAACTGCCAACCCTGGAGCCGAGCACTCTCCTGAAGGGAGGCCGCTGGGCTTCTTGTTAGCTTGGGCTTTGCTATGCGATGAGACGGACGTTGCCGATCTTCACGTATGGACGAAGACGCCCACGCTGGCGCAGCGTAGGGCTGCTCGGCGAGCCCTTTTGCTGCGCAAGGGTGAGCCTGTTGTAAGCATGCTTTTGAAATACGAGCGCAAGAGGTGGCCTGGAGAGGCCATGGAACCAGCATTGGAGCCTTGAGAACACAGGTGTCAAGGACGGCATGGCCGCCCATTGCCCCGCTGCACACGGTCTCTCCGCTCTTTCATGTTCCGTCCCAACTCGCTCAGGCCGATGTGGGGCCCCCAAGATCCAACGGCGTTTCTGAATAATGTGCGTGGCGCTGAGGTGCAGTAGAGTATACGTTATCACGTGCCGTCCTCCCTGAAGGCTTCGCACGACCCCGCTGAAGGTTAGCATGATGATGTATCATCCCCGCGTGTTGGCCTGCTATGTATTGTTCCTAGCACCTTCGCTAGTGATCCGCCGAGGGGTGTGTCGTGGAATGGTATACTCCAACGCAGGCTGAACCAAACTGGCCACGGACGGAGGCGGTTAAAACGACGTCGGCGACGACGGCAGTGTAGCAGAGCATGGGCAGGTGCGGGGCTGCGGGGGCTGTGCGGAGCACAAGTATGATAACGAGTTAACTAAGAGTAGGCGACCAAGATGACGGCGTTGACGAAAAGAAGAGGGGGCATGCTGATTGACGTGAGGGTTTGAGGAGTAACGGGGGGGCGGATGGTTCTGGTGGGGCGGACTGGCGCCCCCAGGGCTCGCGCCCCTCATCGTAGACGCATCGGGCTCCTGCGGCCCAAGCATCGGCGGCTCAAGCATTGGTGTGTGCTTGAGCCCGCCCCCGCCCAGCATTGGCGGTCCTAGCGGCTTCAAGAGACTCGATGTAATCACTCGTAGTCGCTCGTTGCCGCGATCTTCATCGTCAAGTGCGCTTCCGCGCGCTTCCGCTGCTGAAGTGGCGGCTCCATTCGGCGCCGATGCCCCATCGCGGCAGGGCGGCATTCCCAGCGAGGCCCGTCGGCTGACAAGCGAATCACGCGCGGGCACGTCGCCGCCGCCGACCGAAACGGACGCTGGGCGCTGGGCATTTCGCGCTGAGCGCCACGGCGTATCGGCCGAACCAGACGCGAGGCCGCGACTCAAGGGCATCGCTCGCGTTGTTGCAAGGGCGCATCCCCGAATGATATCGATGATGCACCTGTGTGTGTCGGGCGCGCCGCGGCTCGCTCGCGACGTTTGCTGGTGTGTTCATGGCGCGCTGCGCGGCGCCGCTGTGGAGCACGCGCGGGGGTTTGCGACGATATGCCCCATTCGCCATTGCCGTCCCGAGCCCGACGCGACACGCGCGCGCGTACCTCAGAGCCCCGTCGGCGCGCCTCTCGGCATAGCCGCCCGCGCGTCGCGGGAGCCATGGCCGAGCGCGGCTAGCGCCCGCGGGTGGCCGACGCGCGGCCACGCGTGTTAACGCTGTGAAGCGCCGCTTTGTTTACCGCCAGCTCGGTGTTCTCAGCAGCCGAACGCCGCGATGCCGTGTTCCTCCCACAGGAAACCGAGCTGGTTGTTGCTAGGCACGTGGCTCGGATGTTTTGGGCGGGCTGCAATCGGTTCGTGGCGCGGCAGCAGAAGGAGCGCTTGGCCCACCGCCCCGACGGCGTTGCAATGTCTACCGTGGAGCGAGTTGCGCATGCCGTACACGTAGACGGTCGCGGCGGAGATGTCTTACGATGGTGATGTCAGCAATGCCCAGTCACGGCACATTGGCTAACCGCCATTGACAGGCATTATTGCGTTTTGTTTCCCACTTGGTATAAGCCCGTTCAGTTAAAACACGGCCGCCGCCTATAACATTAGTCTTGCGTGGTTGGGCTCAATTCAAGTTGGCCGCGTTCCTTTCGATGGACAGCGAGCCGCTAACTATTTGCGGTGCATTCTAGTTCCAGGTCGGCTTGCGGCGCAACCGCCTGGCAAGGACAAAGATGAACCTCGAGACAACTCATGCGAAGCCCCACGTGCGGGACGCTGGGACGAATTGTCGTTGTTTGGCCGCCGCAGTGTCGGATGGCTCGCGCGCGTAATTAACGCCCTGCGTGCGCATTGACGGGCATAGGGCAGTTCAATATTGGGACCAGGATCGGTCGAGCAGTGCGTGCCCACTGTGCGCAGTGATTGCGCGCCCACTTTAATGATTCAGTGGGGCGCGCAGCCTGCTGACACTTAAATTTCCATGCGCAATTCGGTTGCGCGGCGCATGCAGCGGACCGCGCGCGCGGAGCACGTTGCTGCCAGTGCCGCGGTTTCGCCTGATGGTCCAGAAAATCACACTGGTAGCCTTGCGCAGTTCTCATCGGCGTCGGCGCGTGGCGCGCGCGCGCGCCCGCCGCGCGGGCGCGCCGACGGCGGACCGTGCCGATCTGCTTGTCCGCATCGGCGGGGCCGTTGAGGGGGCGTCGGCCGCGGGGCGGCGCCGCGCTCGTCGTTCGCGGTTGAAAATGATTGCGCGTTCCAACTTTGGCGTCGTTTCTTGAACTGCGTTGGGCCGATGTCCGCGGGCGCACCACGCGCGCCGCGTCTTGATGTGCGCCGCCGCGGGCGACGCAGACGACGTAGACCTTGCCCCGACGGCGCGCGTCGCTCCATCGTGATCTACCCGCGCCATTGCGGGCGATGCGGCGCGGGCCAAGCAGGGCTGTCGCAGTGGCTTACGATCTGCGAGCCGCTTGGCATCGCCGATTCAGCGTTGGTTGGCGATGTTCGGCGCGGGCCATGGCTGGCGACTTGTCCGACGCGATGCGCTCTGCATTCGGCGGCCCGCAACGCCGCGCTTTTGTTTCTACGTCGCAGCAGCCGCGCGGCGCTGTGGCGGCGGGGCGTGCCTGGACTGCCCCGCCGCGGGCTGGCGCGATAGATGCGTCGTCGCGCGCAATTGACAGCGTCGCTTCAGCAGGTCGAGATATCGCGGCGCATTGCGCCCCGTTTGCCCGCGCCGCTACGAGGATAACGGGGACGCATCGCTGCGCTCGCCGCGCGGGGCCCGCCGACTCGCGCAGAGAAGGGCGATGCCGCGGCCCATTCCGATGGCGCGCGCGCCCGCGCCATCGCCAGCGCGCCGCGCATCCGTTGTCGCATCCAGCGGGCGATCGCCAGCGGTTCCGCTGTTAAACGCATGATTTGCATAGTTTCCATGCAGCGCGCGACAGGGGCCGCTGGCGCTTCGTCGGCGCGTTCCGCGCCTTCGCCGCGAGAAATTTGCCCATCGGGCGCGCTTGATGCACTGCGCTGTCCGTTGCTTGCACGTCGCGCCGTCCGCGAGTTGGTTCGCAATGGGATCGCGCGCGTGCCGGCGCCATCGCTCGCGGCGCCGCGCATCCGCACCACCGCCCAACGCAGCGCTGAAGCGCGCCTCCGCCACTTGCGTTGGGGCATGGCGGCTTCGGCCTCATGCGCATCGCATCGGGCGCGCCGCGCGCCGCGCGCGGCGCCGATCCTCGCTGGATGCGACCAGGCGGCGCGCTAGCGCGGTCGCGCTCGTGGAGGGGGGGCGCGCCCGAAAAGTCGCGCGACCGCGTAGAGTCGTCGCGGGAGGGGTTTGTCAGATGCGGTAGCGGGGTCGGTTAGCCAGCGCCCGAGAGGACGTGCAGCGGCGACGAACTCTTGAATCACAAGGGCCATGAAAAGGAGGCGGAGCTCTTCGACGCGATCAGGGGCGGCATTGGGCTGCGTAGGACTTGGCATCAACGGGTGGCGACCGCGCGGCCGCGAGCGCCGCCGCGGTCGCCCGTCGCGTGGCGACGCGGGCGGCTTGCAGCGCGATGCGCCAGCCAGAACCGCCGACCGCGCGAAGTCATCGCGGCCCGCGCCGTCATGGCGTTCCAGGCCAAGTAACTCGGCGCGTCGAGCTGATCCGACTCTGCGATCCGCCGACGCAGCCCAAGCGCGCGGGCATACATGAGACGCGTCGGCGATTTCGGCTGAACCTACCGCGCAAACATCGAGCGGGCGCTCTTTCCGCGCAGAAGCATTTGGGCAAACATCCAACAACCGTCCGAAAACGGCACAAACATTGTTCAAACATTTTTCAAACATTTTTCAAACATTTTGCCCAAAATGTTAAGAAACTGTTTCGACAATGTTTCAACCTTTTTGGGTACCATTTGCGGTACCCAAAAATGTAGCAACACCTTATCCGAAATGTAGCAACATCAAAAACATGTAGCCGCAAAGTTACGAAAATGTAGCCGCAACGGTAGGGGCAAGTGTCCGCTCGGTGGTGCGTCGTACGCTCGCGAGGCTCCCCTAGCTCGGGTTTGTCAATTATCCTAGGGATGGAATGCCTCTCACGAGTGCCCCCCGACGCGTTGGGCCGCTCGCGCTAAGTGCCCCCTACAGCGCTCCTCCGTGCTGCGGAGCGCACTTTGCATGCTTTTCTTAGTGCTCCTCGACGCGCGTGGCCGCGCGCGCTAAGTACCCCCCTACCCCCCCTCCTCCCCACTGGCGCGCTCGGCCGCGCGCGCTAAGTACCCCCCCCCCCCAGCCTTGCCGCGCGCGACACGTGACACCATGCGCGCGCACGCTGTCCCATGGCGCGCTGGGCCGTGGACGCTTTAAGTGCACCATCCAGGGCGTCGGTGCGCGCTTGCGCGCGGTCAGGACTCCCTGCGAGGGCTCCGCCCGCGCTCTAGGCTGCGCCCCGCGCGCGCATGCTGGCGCGCTGAACGGCGCGCGCCACCTATATGTTTGAAGGGGCCCTGGCGCGCGTGCCACGCGCACGCTAAGTCCCCTCCCCCCTCTTGCGCGCTGAGCCGCGCGCGCTAAGTACATCCCCGCCCCCCCCCCCCACCGCGCCGTTCCCGCACTGGGGCCCCCGACGCGCAGGACCGCTCGCGCTGCGGGTCCATAGGGTTCCCCGACGCGCTATGCCGCGCGCGTGAAGTAAACTTCTTGGCGTCGGCCGCCGCGAACGGCCGCGGATTAAGGGCCGCGCGGTGCGCTGCGCCACGCGCGGAGGACACCATATGGCATATGTGCGCTTAGGCACCACGCGCTGCCACCTCTTCTTGGGCGCCATGGCGCGCTGGGCCGTGCGCGCAAGCTCTCCCGACGCGCTGGGCTGCGCGCGCTACGCACCTCCCAGGTGTTCCCTGTGCGCGCGGCCGCGCATGCGAAGTGCCATCCGCTGTGCGAAGCCGCGCGCGCCTGAAGTGACACCTCGCGCGCGCGGCGCCTGGGGCTTCGCGCTGGCTGCGCATCCACATGCGCTTTTGCGCTGAGCCGCGCGCGCTTTGGATTTCCTGCGCTCCCATGGCGCGCTGAACTGCTCGCGCTCAGCACAGGGCCAGTGACCTCGCCCCGGCGCGCATCGCCGCGTGCGCCTAACACGCCCCCCACATGCGTGCTGGGCCGCGCGCGCTAAGTCACGCCGCGCACGTTTCCATCGCGAGCGTGGCCGCGCGCGCTAAGTCCCGCGCTTGTTTTGGCGCGATGGGCCACGCGCGCCACGATGCAGCCTTAAGGCATCCTTGCGCGCGGGCCGCGGGCGGTGCGCCGCCTCGGCCCCGCAGCTTGGAGGGCTGAGCGCCTTGAGCGCCCCTCTTCCCCCATCGGGTCCCCGACGCGCTGGGTCGCGCGCGACGAGTGCGTGCATGGGGCCGCCTGACGTGCTGGGCCTCGCGGGCTCATTGCGCATCCTAAGGTGCACCGCCACGCCTGGCCGCGCGCGCGCATCCGCCTCCTCCGCGCGGGGCGTGGTGGGCTGTGCGCGAAGGAGCTTTTGAGGAATGCGCGTGCTTGGGCCTCCCGCGATGAGTAGCCACCATGTGGTTATATAGTGCGCTGGACCCCGCGCGCTCAGCCCCTTCGGCAAGGTGCCGCGACGCGCTGGCGCGCGCGCTACGACCCTCCTTGGGCTCTTTGGTGCGCATGGCCGCGCGTGCGAAGTACTTTCCTGGCCAGCACCCGCGACGCTTGACCAGGCGTTCGACATGTGCCACGTCTCCATGCGGCGCGCGTGGTCGCGCGCTGTAGGTGTCCCATTTGGAAGCCATCTTGAGCAAGGCCGAGCGCTAGGTCGCCCCTGAGACCGACGGCCCGCTGGGCCGCGCGCTCTAAGTAATTCTCTCCGCCGACGCGCTGGGCCGCGCGCGCCGCGTGCCACCCTGTTCGGCGCGCTTGGCCGCTCGCGATACATCGCCATCTGAGGCCCTCACGCATGGTCTGTGTCGCGCGATAAGCGCGCACCCGCGCCCGCCGCTTCATGTGGCCCTGGGTTGCGCGCCGTTGCGGGCTCCCCTTGAGGTACCCTTGCGCTGACGCCGCGCGCGATAAACAATCGCGCTGCAGCATCCTTGCGGTTGGGCCGCGCTCGCCCGCGCGATTGCGTCGGGCGCGTTGGTTGTTTTTTGCGATTCGCCCCGCGGGCGGTGCACAGAGCTGGCTCTCGGGCCCATCGCGGCGGCGTCCTGTCTTGATTTCGGTTTGGCGGCGGCATGCCAAGTCGGGCATCGGGCCCGCGGGTTTGATCGCTGCGCGGGCCAGCGCATCCGTGCGCCCGCTTGTTTGCCTTGCAGCCCGCGGGGTGTATTGGAGCTCTTTTGCGGCAATCTTGGAAGCTATCGCACACTGTAAGGAAGGGCGCCGAGTAGGGCTCGCATTCGGGCCGCGGTCCGCGTGAGGGGTGTAAATAAGAGGTCCGCCCATGCGCAGGTAACAGGATGTCTCAAGTACCAGCGGCCTGCCTCCTCCAGGCACGCGGGGAGGGTGATGTAGGGAAGGACATGCCCCTCACATTCGCCGAAGGGGAAGAAGGTTATTGAAACGAGAAGGCACCCTAAACCAGTCACGCCCGAAAGGTGGTTGGCATTGTTGCGGTTTGTTCGCTAATGGCTGGTGGGCATGGTGCTCCACGTCTTGCGTCACCTCGCGATACGTTGTTTTTGCTCTTTCAGAAGCCCGCGGGCTCGTCGGTCAAGCAAGTGCGTCAAAACCGCGTCCAGGCGAGGTTTGCAACAAAAGGGTTCTAAAGGACGATCATGTTTTAGATTACGCCTGCATGGTGAAGTTATACGTTGCTGCTGCTTGCGTCAAATTCATAGCAGCGTTCTGGGGCCCCAAAAGACCTCGCACTCGGTTTCTCCAGTTGCCCGCGTCATCTTTCTTCAGTTTGCTGTCACCGTAGCCATTTCACGGCTCAATTTTCCATATCAGACGGTCGCCGATCAGGCTTCCACTCGTATACGAGTTGTTTTGCCCGTCGCTCGTGTCCGCGGCCTTGGGATGTCGGGCGGCGAAGGCAACGACCAGGCCTTCTTTGCATCAGAGGCGTGGAGCTCAGAGATTGACAAGTCTCAGGGAGAAGCCGACGATGGCCAGAGCGAAGATCCATCGCAAGGGTGTTCAAGTCCGCGAGATTGCCTCAAGGATGCGTCGGCCGAGGTCACCGAGACAGGAGCCGTTCTTCTTCCAGTGGTTGAAGTTCCAGCGAGGTTGCCTGACTTCCCAGACGAGGCGCCACTCGACTCGGGCCCCACGCGTCTGATGGCTGCGGTGCTGCCTTTGGAGACGCCGCAGCAAGAAAGCACACCAAAGGCACCAGATGCTGTCCCTCTGGCCTCGATGCCTGGGTCCTCAAACGACTTGCCCGACTCCGAAGTGGCTGGGGGTGATGTGGTGATTGCCGAGGTCCTCCCCGAGCGCATGAAGACTGTGACGCAGACGCACGTCTACAATAGCCTTCATGATGTGCCTGGGTGGATGGTATCCTTCTTCAACAAAATGATGCCGCACTTCGAGTCTCAGGGTGTTTCTCGCGCCTGTGGTGGCCCGCGTACAACGCGTTTCAAGGTGACCTTCCAGCTGTCCGACAGTTGGGATGTGCATGGGGATTCAGATTGAGTGAGCATGAAGGTTTCTTTCGACACTGGCTCGGCACCATCGCTGGAGCCACTGCGTCGGCACGCGTCTCAGCATCTCGGCATTTTGCTCTGGATGCGCTGGAGGGGTCATGTACAGAGCAATCGGCGCAGTCGCATCGTTTTTTGGAGATGCATCGGCGATGATCGATGCCATTCGCCTGCGTCAGGTTCTGTCCTTGGTAGCTTGCAAGATGCATCGGGTACGAATCGCCAAACATCTCGCTCTGGTGCCTGATCTTTTCACGTGTGATGGCCGAAGCGCCTCGCACTGATACGTTGGTGCTCTGGCTCTGACGGGGCGTTTGATCCGTTATGGAAAGTGAAGTCTTCTTGGCCACAGTTACTGTAGCGCTCTGGTAGCCCCCCATCCGCGGGTGATAAGGAGATTGGGGGGGCGAGGCTTGGCGATCCAGATGCCGATTTCTTTCGATGAGGTTTGCTCGGAAGCTCTTCCCTCTGCCCCTCGGATGAGTCAGTCGCACGTGCATGGAAACAGCGCGTGCCACGTTGTCGTGCACATATCTTTCAGAATAGATCGGCAAGCGCAGTAGGCCCCACAGTGGCCCATGTTAGCTTAGCAACGCCCCAGGGTGTGTGTCCCGCCTGTGGGGGTCGATTGGATGCCTCGACGTTGAGGCGGCGCACGTTGGCATCGATGAGCCGCATGCTAAAGTATGTTGTGGCGCGTTTAGGCACAAGAGCTTTAGACTGAACGGGATCCCAACCGATAGGAGGTGGGTCGTATCATGTTGGTCCTGATGAGGATGCTCCGATGTAGGAGGAGGAGGGGTGGGAAGGGAATGAGGAGGACAAAGCGAAGGATAGGGAACTTGGGCCTGGAGGGTGACAAGGGGAATGAGAGAGGGTTCTCGATCACATCTCTCGCAGAGCGCCGCCACTTGCAAGTCCACAAACAGGCGTATCAGAAACAGCCTTCCTAGGTCGTCAACCTGGGCTCTTGGAGCGGTGGTTGGCCATACTGAGTCGAAATCCCGTTGTCCCTATACCCGCGTACCCCGCCACCCACGTCGCCCTTCCCCTCATGCCACCCCCTCACTGTCATCCCCTCCCGCCCGCCAACGCACCTTGACCCCGCTACGTCCCTGCCATTGCTTTTATAACCCCCCCCATCCACCCCCTGTGCAAGCACGAGCCAATGCACCGTTGTTGCCTATGATCTCAGACACCCTCGCAATGCCCACCGTGTCGGCCCCCGTTGCTGTTTTTTTGGCTCGAGCTGGTCGGACAGTCCAGTGGTTGAACACCACCCGTGCCTGAGCTCAGAGAGCTCAGTTGCCCCGACTTTGCAGGAGCAGAGCCCATGGCCAGGGGCAAGCAGTCGGCGCGTGCTAAGCAGCAGGCCTTGGCGCTGCCGCAAGGGAGGGCCGCGAGCGACGAGGCCAGTGATGGTTGTGAGAGCGTCGCCTCGGCGGCAACTGGAATGACGCCGCCGCCTCCGAAGGCTCCTGCTCAGATGAGGCCCCCGCCGAGGAGGAAGAAGGCACCCGCCAACTGCGTCGGCTGCGGCGTTTGCAACACTAGCCCCTGGGCCGAGTACATCAAGAAGGCGAACGGCGAGCAGGTGCCAGTTGGTCCTGGAGATGCCGAGTGCTACAAGACGTGGTTGGCTGGCTTCCAGACAGACGGCAGTTTCGAAGAAGTCTTGGAGAAGTGCCGCGCCGACAGCCAGTACAAGGAGTGCTTCCAGAAGGCCGACTCCATCAGGAAGGGGCTCACGAAGGCAGTGTACCGTCTCGCAGACATCGCGAAATCAACTTCGCAGGGCTACCGCGCATATCGGTGCAAAGTGGGGCTGAAGCCAGTCGAATTCGAGTCCATTTTCAATGGCACCATCGAGGACGCGGGCCTGAAGCTACAGGACCTCCCGAACGAGTTCGGCGTGATGTTCAAGGGTGCTCTCGTAAACGATCCCGACCGACCTGGCGTCAGATACGACGTGTTTCACGAGACCGCTTTGGAAAAGGTACTGTGTATCATGTCGAAGAGCGACCACTTCTGGTCTGGCCAGGAGGACAAGATCTTCGAGAGCGTCTTCAAGTCAGACTTGAATCCCGTGGGATCGGCGTTGCAGAAGTTGCGGACCCAGTCGGTCGAGCCCAACGAGATCAGGCAGGCGATCTTTGAGAAGAGCGGCAAGACATCAAGCGGGCCCATCGGCGTTTCCTCGTCGGGCGGTCTTTCGGCCTCGGGGTCTGGTGGAGCTGCTGCCGCCGCCAGTGCTGCAGGAGGTCCCGAAGTAGATGCAGAGTTCGATGAGTTGATGGGCGACACTATCGTTGCAGCGGAGAGCGGGCCCATGCTGCACGATGCCACCCCCGTCGCGAAGACGACAGCAGGCAGGGGAAAATCGACCCCCAGCTGTGCAGCTTCGTCGGAGCTTGGTTTACGCAGGGGCGGTTCTACCATGTATGGAGATCTTGATGATGACGACGGCACGCCAGATGGTAAGCGGCGCAAGTTCAGCACGACCGAGTGGATCCAGAAGCTCGACCTCATGAAGGCGCTGAGCGGGGCGGCGATGGCACGCAAGAAGACTTTCGCTCAGACGCACTACAACAATACCCCAGCCTCAGACACCAAGAAGAGCTTGCTGGCTGAGCAGATCTTGCTGGTGGGCTACGCGATCGACATCAGCGAGTGCGACGTGGCCAAGGTGGAGGGCGATTTCATCACGACCCGCATTGAGGAACTCTTGAGGGCAACCCACGGCCAGCTGCCGACCAATTTGAAGCTTAAGTTGTTTCACCGTTACGTGTGCCGAGCTACTGCGAATTATTATTTTTTATCTTCGTTTTTATTATAATCCAGCGTTTTTTTTATTATAATTGCCTATTGCCTTTTATACCGTGTTTCTTATTTGTATTTTTTTTTACTGCGAACATGGAGTTCAGAGACAAAGACGGCATCCAACGGTTTTTGAAGACCATCTTCCCCTTGAACATCAGCGGCTGTGACGACGAGGACAACTTCGACTGGAAGGTACCCAAGCTGTGGCAGTGCGAGGGGTCTCCTTCGGAATTCGCGAGCTACTTCACTGCGGGCCTCGAGAAGCTCATCGTGCCGCTGCTGACGAAAAACTCGGAGCCCATCGACATCATCTTGAAGGCTTGCTCGTGGTGCTTGGAGGCGTACGCCGACGTCCTCTCTCATGAGATGGACGACTCGTATGCCGAGGCGTTGCTGGACGCTTGTACTTGTTGGCGCGGTTGCCTTGGCCTTTTCAACGTGGCGGCCTCGACCACGCACGACCGGGCGATCAAGATGCTCATCGATAGGCCTCCCAAGGGAAAGGAGGACTCTCTGCCCTCGGTTGCACGGGCCACGATCTCAAGGGTGATGGAGTTCAAGCAGTACGTCGACGACTACACCGTCAAAGGTGCCAGCACGCTGCTCACTGCGCCCAAGTTTCAGGAGGCCATGGCGTCGTTGCAGGAGGCCGCCACCATGTCGAGCACGACGGAGGCGGTCATGAAGTATCCCGAGTTCAAGGCGAACATGCGTCAGGGCATGGTCGACGGCATGGAGGCAGAGCTTTTGGGTCTCGTCCAGTTCTACGCCAATGACTTCAAAGAGTTCATGCGGCACGACGTGCCGACTGACCAGGCTGGACGTCACGCAGTTGTCAAGGTGTGCGATGAGGCGAATGCACTCTTTGAGGCGGTCGCGAAGCACATGGTGGAGCTTGTACCCGGTGCCCCGCAGCTGGTGTCGTTCGCGAATGCTGCTCGGGCCAAGGTCACGTCGCTCCACCGCCTGGAGTGCTTCTTCACGCTGCTGGATGGCTACGCGAAGCCGCCCGATGGTGCAGCAGCCGCTGCCGCTGGCAACTTGCCATCTGCTGAGCACAGCAGGCGCCTGGTTGACGAGTGCAAGGGGCTTGCAACCCTCAGGGACGCCGTGAAGAACAACGGCTCGTACAAGCAGATCCTCGTGTCCGCCGCGGAGAGGACCGCCGAGGGTATCTCTCTGGTCGGCTCGGTCACCGCGCCTGGCTGCAAGGAGGCCTTGTCCGCGCTCGCATGCCTCTGCAACCTGGCGGCGGAGGACGACTCGATTCGCGACTCCGCGATGCTGGTGGACATCGGCCAGGCCGCGATCACGCTGCACAGCACGATGTCCGAGTTCTCAGCCCTCGGTGACACCGTGATCGCCTCTGCCGACGCAGACGCCAACCAGGTGCTGGCCATGAAGATGATGTCGGAGTCGACGGCCTTGCGTGAGCTGCCTGGGATGCTGTCCCCCAACATGCGGTGCGACTTCGCGGTGGCTGTGGACGACGCAGCCAAACGCTTGCTGGCGAACGTCTCCGACGCGATCCTCGACAGGCGCAAACGGTCAGTCTTTAACTTGATCGACCAGGTGTTCGCTGCCACGCGGACCGCGTACAAGAAGGATGGGAGTCTCTGGAAGGACGGCTTCAGCGGCTCGTGGGACGACCTGGTGGCGCTGGCCAACAGCACCATCATGAGCGTGGTTGACGGCGACGCGCTGACCAGGGTGGCGGATGCTCTCAGCGCCGATGTGGACGAGTTCTGCAAGGAGGTCCAGCGGTATGACCGCATGACCGACTACAAGGAGACGGTCCTTTCGGCGAAGTTGGTGAGCACCAATGCGATGGTGATCGTGCAGGAGGCATCCATCTTCCTGTGTTTCAAGATGTTCGGGGAGCAGCCCGTCAAGCTGCGCAAGGGGCTCATCAAGGAGAAAAATGAGCCCTATTTGAAAGCTCTTAGGAGGTGGCGTGGGAGGAGAGGAGGATGAATGCGGAAGGAGGGGGGAGGAGGGAGAAGGGATGGAGGGAGGAGGATGAGGAGGGAGGAGGCAGGAGGGAGGGACGGAGGAGGATGAGTAAGGGAGGAGTGGGGAGGAATGAGGGACAAGTGATGGAGGAGGAGAGGGGGATGGACACCGAAGGAGGAAGGTGGAGACGTTGTCTGTGCCTCTCGGGCCCATGAGGCCCCAATGGAGGGGGGCGAGAGGACCCCAGGGGGGCTCCGGGAGGGCACCAATCGGACTCCAGGAGGGCCAAAGGGGTTGTCACGCAGAGGGCCCTGTTCGTGACAACCCCTTTGGCGCCTCTTGGGGCCATCTTGAGGCCCTGTGGAGGACCTTTCGGAACACAATTGGGGCTCTGGGGCCCTCCGTGCCCCTCTGTCCGTCCAACCGTATCCCTTGCCCTGCTTCATACATCCAGCCGTGACAGTACGGATGATCAGCCTCTGTCAGGGCATCCTTGCATCCTTACCCTTTCGGTCCATCCGCGTTATGGCTCGCTGGTCAGCGCCTTAGGACACCCATGGGACGGGACGTCAACATGACGTTCGAAGGCCCTAGAATCCTTGCCGCACTCCTTTTCTATCCTGGGTGACGCTTGCGGAGTTCTCTGGTTCCGAGGCGTCGCCATTGGGGCCTCTTGGGCCGCTTTGGCGGCCTGGGGTGTTTCGTAGGATATGACGGTGGGCCTTTCGGGTGCTTTTCGGGCCGCCATGGTGCTCCCTGGAACTTCGCCCTTTCTCCTCCCTCCCTCCCCCGCCGAAGCCCCGATGGGGCCCGAACGATTCACCTTCTGGCGTCAGTTATTCAGCCCTTCCTCTTCTTCCTCCCTTTCCCCCCTCGCCACCTCCTCCTCCTCCTCGTTCTCTTCCTCCTCCTCCACCTCCTCATTCTTCTCTTCTTCCTCCTCCTCCTCCTCCTCCCCCTCCTCCTGTCCCTCCTCGTCCTCCTCCTTAGCCTCAGGACATGGTCGCGAAGGGCCTCCTGGCGGCAGAGCCTGGGAAGCCAGGCATCCTCGAGATCATGGCGCGCGAGGTGGATGCCAAGATCGCGATGCAATGACCGCGACTGGCGGCGACAGCTTGGATCGGTGTTTAGGCGCCTCCTCCGAGCTGTCACAAAAATCGTGATATGTTTTTTTGCCTGTTGATGAGGCTGTGTCGGGTACTCATCCCCCAGTTGCTGAGGCCGTCGGGTATTCGATTCGCAGCCTTTCATCAACAAGGCCAGGCGGCCCCCTCCTTATGTCTCCCTGGCACGGGCGCGCCTGGTTTTAGAATGGCCGGTTCGCGTGAGACATCCTCCCAAAGGCGAGGTGGCTAGCTAGGTGTACTCTTGTGCGATGTTCATGCAAGGTACGCTCTCGGTCAAAACTTTCTCGACAATTGAGTTGCAAGAGTAGTTAACAGCGTCGTCGCGAGTTTCACAAATGAGGCTCTCGCCAAAGGGATCCACTCCAGTTCTTCACGCCTCGCGCATTTCCACAATACATCCCGAAAGAGCCGCCAGGCGAGTTTCCTTGATGAGGCAGCTTGAGGGCCATCTTGGGCGCCTTAGAGGCGGATTGGGCAGAGAATGTGCACGCTTAGGGCCGCCGCGTGGGCTGTCCTGGGGCCAGCATGGAGCCCCTTTGAGCGTTTTTGAAGCCTTCTGGGGTACCTTCGGGGAGCCATGGAGAGCCTCTTGGGACCATCTTGGAGGCAATCGATCAAACGATGTGGGGCACTTGTGTTGCCCCCCGCTCAGGGGCCACGATCGCCGCGATGGGGTGTCAAACAACAACCTTGCCAATGAGCGGAAGAGGGCCCTCTGACCGCTCGCGGCCTCCCCCGTCCAGGTCCACGGGAGGGGGCAATTGGGACTGGGCGAACCCCTCCCCAAAGGGGAAGAACGAATCTCGTTAGACCAGTTGTCGCCCAGAGAGCTGGTGGTAATGGGCATCAGATTGGATCTTGTGGCTGCACCGCATCGCAATGGTTTTGTGTTCACAGTCAATCCGAGTGGCGGTTTGTAGCCCGTTGGTCGGCGATGCTGCTGCCCCCGAATTTCATGGCGACCTGGTCACCTTGGTTCCCCCAGAGCGGTCGCGATAGCTCCTGCCCGCGGTTGGACCGCCGCCTGGGTCTAGCACATTGTTCCGTCTGTGCTCCGCGCGTTCGTGCGGACCAGGGCCCATGCGATTGGCCTTTTTCAGGAAAGCTTTGAAAATCAGATATCGTGCTGCGGAACCTTCTTGGGAAAACCACATCGTCTTCGACGAATTTGGCGAACCTCCGCGCCATGTCGGCATAACCTCGGACACAAACATTTTTTGAAATCCCTGGGGAAACTTTTCGGAAAGAAAAACCTTACTTCGGCGATTTCCATTGGGGGAGGCCTTTACCAGGCGATTTGTTTCTCAACCCCCTCCTCCCTCTCCGACGAACTGGCCTCCTCCTCCTCCTCCTCTTCCTCCTCCTCCTCCTCCTCTTCCGCCTATTCCCCCTCCTTTTCCCCCTTCTTCTCCTCCTCCTCGTCCTCTTCCTCTCTCTAGAAAATACCCCTTCTTCCTCCTCCTTCTCGATTCCCCCCTCCGCCCTGGAGGCTTCCGCGGGGCATTCCAGAAGTCTGATGGAGGCTTCGCGCAGGTCGCCGGAGGTCCCCCAAGGCCTCTGCGGAGACCCCTCCGGGGCGCAGCGGGGGCCAGAACCACCGAGCAGAAGTACACATGTCCTCGGTCCCAGCCCCTCCTCGAACATCGGCCATGGGACTTCGATCTTCCAGCCAGATCCTTTCCACGGTTCGGCCTTCAGGTGCCGAAGGTCCTCACGCGTGTGGGCCAGGAGGGCCGATGCGGACGATCTCTCCTGGGGAGCTTCCTCCTCCCTCCTCCTCCTCCCTCCCTCTTCTCCCTATCCGGCTCTCCTCCGCGCCCGCTGTAGATATCCAGGGGGCGCATTTGCTGTAATTGCTTGGGTGGGCAATGCCTTTTGGATTTGTCGGCCTTGTGTTGCCTTGCTTTCGGTTGTGGCGGTGTCTGCTTGGGGTAGCCCCCCTGAAGTGGCCGTGGACAATGTATTGCCTTTCGTGTATTTTTTTGTCCCCTGCTCTTGGCCGTCCGCCGACTCCTCTTCGAGCTTGTGTGCCCCCCCCGGGCTCCTCCTCTCCATCCTCCCACCTTCGAGCATCCGATCAAGAAACCTCCTCCCAAAAAGCTGTGCCAGCGTTTCTGAACCAGCTTGCCGGCAAGCTGGCCCGGTCTCTTCAGCACGCTCGCCCCTTCAGCGGTACCAGCAGACATGCGCCAAGGCGTGCTTTAAGCAGCTTCTGGGAAGCCGGCCCAGATGTCTTACATGATAATTGTCTTGATCACACTATCGGCTGCACGCTTCTGTCAGCAGGAAAAGTTCCGCGTCTGGGACCAGACCTGCCTCAGCTACGGCCCGTGCCAGACGCCCACGCTCTGGTTCTGCGTCCGCGGGCGGGCCCTGGGGGCGGCCCGGCCCCGGATCCGCGATCGACAACCTCTCCGATGCGGAGGAGGGGAGAGGGTCGAGGAGGAGGAGGAGGAGGAGGAGGAGGACCAGTGCAAACCCAAGAGGCATCAACGATGCTTGTATAAACCCTCCCTCCAAGCCCCCTCTTCACAGGCCCCTACAACAGTTCATTTCCATTGAGGGAACTGCCTCGTTGGAAGACAACCGTTTGAAGACCCTGCAGCATGCTAAAATGTTGTTATTGGGATTCCAACGCCACGAATCAACTTGACTGTTGCGTGTTGACGATCCAGAATCGTGCCAGAACACAATTCCTGTGACTTCAGCACAGCGGATCAACGTAAGTGCTGCGCCCGCATAATCCTGAGTCCTTTCAAAACGCCATTTCTGGTACGTTGATGATGGGAATCCGTGAGAATCTTGCAACTTGTTAAAACGAATGTGCGTGGCGCTAAGGCTAGAGCCACATTTTGAAAAGTAGCCGTCCCCAATCCGTGAAATTCTTACGAATGTTTAAAACGGATCTGCGCCGCGCTAAAGCGAGAGCCACATTTTGAAAACTCCCGCCCTCAATCCGTGAAGCTCTTGTAAATGTTTGAAACGAATGTGCGCCGCGCTCAGGCGAGAGCCACATTTTGAAAACCACCCGCCCTCAATCCGTGAAGCACTTGCAAATGTTTGAAAATAATGTGCGCCGTGCTCAGGCGAGAGCCACATTTTGAAAACCACCCGCTCTCAATCCGTGAAACTCTTTCATATTTTCATAGCGAATGTGCGACGCGCGGTGGCGGGAGCCACATTTTGAAAACCACCCGCCCTACATCTGTGTTGCCAATGTTTACGTTTCAGAGTCATAAGTTGTGAGGAAGTCTCAGGCGAAACGCCCGGCCCGCCCTAAAAACTAGCTTCGGGGTGCGACAGTGAGAAATTATTTACAATGAAAAGGAATGGAGGTGGAGGAGGAGGAGGAATACGACGACGCAGAGGATCGAGGGTCGAGTCCAGGGTCGATGTGATTTCCTTTGTTTGTTGTTTTTGTTTTTCGTTTTGTAAAACAGAAGCAATTGAATAACAAGAGTCCTGCAGAGAGGCGGAGCAGGAATACGAGGAGGAAAATATGCGGAGAAAGTGGGAAGAGGTGGAGAAGGTGGTGGAGGAGGGATTGGATCAGGGCCTTGATCAGGCGTGGGAAGATCGGGAGCAGGAGGGCCAGGAGCAGGAGGAGGAGCAGGTGAAGATCCGCAGCAAGAGCAAGTTCTGGAGGCAGGGTTATCATGCTGATAACGATGACGATGGCGATGCTGATGATGATGCTGATGATGGTGATGATGATTGTGGTTGTGATGATGAGGATGGTAGTGGCGGTGGTGACGATGCTGTTGTTGGTGATGCTAATGAGTTTGATGAGGATGCTTGTGATGACATCGAGCATGGTTATGATAACCAGGATGCTGGTGACGATGATGACGATGGTGATGTCGACGATGCTGATGATTATGCTTATGCTGAGGGTGATGATGATGGGCATGCTGTTGGTGATGATCAATGTGATGGGGATCATGATGAATATGATGATGCTCATAACGATGAGGATGCTGTTGCTGATGACGACGGTGATGTTGCTGATGATGATGATGCTGATGATGATGATGCTGATGACGACGATGAGGAGGAGGAAGAGAAGGAGGGCCATTGTAAACGCATGGCCCATGTCCCATCAACGATGTTGCAATGAACCATCCCTCCAAGTTCCCTCTTCACAGGTCCCTACGATAGTAGTAGTAGTAGTAGTAGTAGTAGTAGTAGTAGAAGTAGTAGCAGTAGTAGTAGTAGTAGTAGTAGTAGTAGTAGTAGTAGTAGTAGTCGTAGTAGTAGTAGTGTTAGTAGTAGTAGTAGTAGTAGTAGTAGTAGTAGTAGTAGTAGTAGTAGTAGTAGCAGTAGCAGTAGCAGTAGCAGTAGCAGTAGCAGTAGTAGTGGTAGTAGTAGTAGTAGTAGTAGTAGTAGTAGTAGTAGTAGTAGTAGTAGTAGTAGTAGTAGTAGTGGTAGTAGTAGTAGTGGTGGTGGTGGTGGTGGTGGTGGTGGTGGTAGTAGTAGTAGTAGTAGTAGTAGTAGTAGTAATGATCGTCGTAGTCGTAGTCGTAGTAGTAGTCGTACATTTTCACTGGGGGGTGTGCTCCGTTGGAAGATATGTTTATGAACATCTGGAACCGTGCCAGAAGATCATTCCTGGGCATTCACCGCCGCGAACCAGCGCTACTGCTGCGCCCTGCCGATCCTGAATCGTGCCAGAACACCGTTTTGGGGACTCCAACACAGCGAATCAACGTAACTGTTGCGCCGTGGCAGCCCTACATTGCGCTAAAACGCATCTCGTAGGACGCCCACACTAGAAATCCTTGAAACTGTTGTAGGCTCTTTAGATGAATGTGTGCGACGCCAATGCGAGAGCCACATTTTGAAAAGGTACCGCACTCCATCCGTTCAAAGCTTGCGAGCTTTCAAGGCGAATGTCCGCCTCGCTCAGGCGAGAGCCGCATTTTGAAAACGACCCGCCCTCCATCAGAGAAGCTGTTGCACATATTCAGCTTAAGGATCATAGTTCGTGAGGAAGTCTCTGGCGAAACGCCCAGCCCGCCCTATCGACACGTCTCGGGGTTCGACAGGGTCGAGTTATTGATAAGGAAAAGGGATGGAGGAGGTGGAGGCCCTGGAACAAAATCAGGAGCAGCAGAAGCGTGATAAGGAGGAGCAGAAGGAGGAGCAGGAGGATCGTCGCGGACGCGGGCTTCTACCCAACGGAGAGTTGGTTCTGGTCGAGGCTGCAGGAGGGTCTCGGTACCTTGATCCGCGTATCGGCGCTGGGCCAGGCTCCTTTCCCTCGCCCTCCCTCGGGCAGCGACGAAGCGTCCAGACCTGTCTATGGGCCCACCAAAGAATGTTATACGAACGCGCTGTGGCGTGCACGACATGTTCTTGGAACACTGCTGGCTGATACAATAATTTTTCACACATCGCTTGTAGGTTCGATGGTCCTGCTTTGGTAAAAGGTACTTGTTCTTGTGCTATGAGAACATGTCCTTGTAGGCATGCAGGAATGCCAGGACGGTAGGCCTCTGCTCAAACTCCCGGGAGAGAGGGACCAGCTCTCAGGGGGGAGATATCGACCTGGAATCGGCCATACACATCGCCAGCAAATCGGCGACAGGCCCCCCCGAGAGCGAGATTCGAGCGTTCCTGGGCGGGGTCGGCCATCAGGCATCCATCGGCGATTGGTGTTGATGCGTCCCCCCCTGAGCCTATCCCCCCCTAGCGTTGCCCCTGACGGGCTCTCCACGGCATCCCACGTCTTGGGGGTGCTGGGGCGTCTGTGCACCGAGACCCTCGGCCGATCAGGCGGCTCGGCCGATTGCAGCCAGTCCCGACTTTACCACTGCCTATATCGACGTCAACACTGACGCTAGCAGCGAATCCAGCATTGACGCCAGCTCCGACGCCAACATCGACCCCAGCATCGCCGTGCGCATCGAGGACACTGTCGACTCGAGCATTGGAACCCGCATCAACGCCAGCATCAACAAGCACAGCGCCCATCATCGACGGGCAAAGCCTGTGTGACGGCGTCGGATGAGTTTTGTGTGGCCGCGGCGAAAAGGCAGGCAGCGTCGGCAGCGACTTCGGCCACGGTTGGGGGGGCGGCTGGACTGGACTCGGCGTCGTCGACGGCGAGACGCCGGCGGCGGCTGGGGCGGCGGCGGCGCCGGCGACGGCCCAAGCAACAGCGCCAGACTCGACGCCCGCACCGACGCCCGCACCGTGGTCAGCGCCGCCAAAATCAGCAACGGCACCCGCGCGGACTCCATCGTCCACGTCAGCGTCGACACCAGCACCGCCCCCACCATCGACGCCAGCGCCGACGCCAGCATCGGACCCAGCATCAGCGCCAGCATTGAAGGCGGCATCGGCTCCATCTCCTGACCCAGCACTTGGGTCACTACCAACGGCATCATCGACGCCAGCACCGACGCCGTAACCCATCCCCGCATCGACCCCCGCATCGAAACTAGCCCTCGCGACAGCATCTACGTCAGCACCGACGCCAGCATTGGCGCCGGCACTGAAAGCCACACCGACGCCAGTTTCAATTACAGCATGTGCATCAGCATCGGTGCAAGCATCCGCGCCAGCGTCGAGGGCAACTCTGACCCCGTCATCAGTTCCTGCGTCGACGCCAGCGCCGACACGAGCACCGACACAAGCACTGCCCACATCATCAACGCCAGCATCGACGCCAGGATCGATGACAGCATCAGCGTCCGCATCGACGCAACCACCCACCACGCAATCACCAGAGGAAACAACTACCCTATCCGCGAAGCTAGCATCGACGTCAGCACTGACACCAGGACCCACCCCAGCATCGGCACTTGCACAAGCGTCAACATCGACCCTAGCATCGACGCGAGCACCGAAAACAACACCGACTCCAGGATTGGAGCATACATGGACGTCCGGACCGACACCAGAATCCACCCCAGCATTGACGCCAGAACCGACTCAAGCATCGATGCCAGCATCGAATCGCGCCTCGAGGACAGTAGCGACTCCAGCGTCAGAACTTGTGCCCGCTCCAGAATCGACACCGCCACCGACGCAAGCGGCGAAGCAAGCCTTCACGACAACATCGGCGCCAGCATCGACGCCAGCTGCAACATCACCATCGACGCCGACGCCAGCAGCGACGACAGCATTGCTGCCAGCATTCGCTGCAGCATTCCAGATCAATCTCGCCAGTGATGGAAGGGGAGGGCGCGAGGTGCCCCCCCACCCCAGGGGCGGATGGACCGCAGTGCACAAGATGGCCAGTGATCGCGCCGTGATTGCTGACTCCAGCACCTACGCCAGCACCGACATCAGCATGGAATCCAGCACTTGCGTCAGCATCGACACCAGCACCGCTCCTACCATTGACGCCAGCATCGGCGCCAGCATCAACCCCAGCATCAGCTCCATCATCGCAGACGACATCGGCTCCAGCACCAGAGCCAACATGCACGCCACCACCAGCGCCAGCATCTACTCCTAACATCGACGCCACCACCCTTGCCCGCATCGGCTCCCCCATCGGCGCTAGCCCTCAGGACAGCATCGACGTCGACGCCGACATCAGCGACGCCAGCATCGACGCCAGCACCAACCCCAGGATTGCAGCCAATAGCGACTCTAGCACAGCCAGCTTTCACGACTCCGCCGAAGCCAGCAGCGAATCCAGCATTGACGTCCGCAGCGACGCCAGCATCGCTGGCAGCAGTACTGATGCCAGCACAGCCGTAGGCACCGACGCCAACATCGACCCCTGCAGCGGTGCCAGCACCGACGCCTGCATTGTCTTCAGCACCGATCCCAGCACGCGCCGCGGCATCGACACCAACGCTGACGCCCGCAACCGAGCCGCCAGTTACCTCCCCGACCAGCTCTGGCCGGTCTGGCCTCGGAGCCGCACCTGACGTTCAGCGGCGCATCATCCGGGTGTGGGGACAGGGCTTCACCTCGACAGCCACGCCCTCCGCTCGACCTTCCGCCTGTTCGGCCCGATTCAGGCCCGTCACCTCGCCCGAGGACCGTCCGAGCGCTTCCTCCATTGCGGCTGCGTGCACTACGCCGCCGAGGAGGCGGCCAGAAGGGCCTGCGATTGCTCTCGCATTCGCCGCATACCCTGGGGCGAATCCTGGGCCAGGGCCACTGCGCCCCATGACCAATGCCACGACCGGCTGCTCCAGCACCAGCACCAGCAACGCGAGCACGACCAGCGCGACCGCTATGACCAGCAGACCAATTATAACCAGAACAGCGCAACCAGCACGAATGTGAGGGGCTTGCAGCTCCAAGGTCAGCAGCAGCTTTACCGCCCCCGCCACCACGAACACGATTGCGACCAGCACTACCACCCTTGCCAGCATGACATCACCCAGCACGGTCACCCTGACCAGCGCACGGACAGCCAGCTGCGCCATCGTGGCCAACACGACGGCCCACCAACCATCCCAGCATCGAGGCCAGCACTGACGCCAGCCTCGATGCCAGCATCGACTGCATCATCAATGTCATCACCCAAACTTACGCCGACGCTAGGCGCTGACCTCAGCACTGGCGCCATAATCGACACTAACACCGAAGACAGCATCGAACCCAGCACTGCCGCTTGCGTCGACGACCGCAACATCGACCCCAGCATCGACGTTAGCGCCAGCCACAGCAACGACGCCACTGCGCTACACGGCACCGTCACACCTGACGCTCCCACCGACGCCATCACTGATGCACCTCCCGACTCCATCTCCGACGCCCCATCCCGCGACCCACCCGGCGTCCCACCAAAACCAGCACTCGCGCCAGCATCGACACCAGCATCCAAGACAGCACTGACTCCAGCACGGGAGCCCGCGTCGTCGTCCGCACCGGTGCCAGCATCGACCCCACGACCCCAGCACCGGCGCCGGATGACCTCTCAGGAGGTGAAGACCATGACCGAACAGGAGGTAGCGGGGGCGATAGAGAAGGAGGATCAGCACCACCGACACCATGGGCCTCGCCCGCATTGACGCCATCAAAGGAGCCTGTATCAACCTCCGCACCAGCGCCAGCATCAACTCCAGCAGCGTTGCCAGCACCGAAGTCACCATCAATCCCGCCATCGACACGAACACAGCGGACACTATCGACCCCAGCACCAGGACCCGCACCCACGCCAGCAGCGACATCGCCGCCAGCATGGCTTCCGAGCCTGGCACGACTGCTTGCTCCCGATGCTCCGCCCCGACGGACGAGCAGCAACGCCATGGGCGGGTGGCGCCAGGACCATGACAGTGCCCCACCCTGCCCCCTACCAAACACGCCACCGAGCGACCAGCAGCAGCACGTCCTGCGACGCCGACCGGCAGCAGTGCCGCAACACAACCAGCAGCACTGCCACCAAGGCGGGGACCAGCACCACGCGGTGAATGGCCTGGGCCATCAGAACCAACCGACACCGGCACACTCCCACCCGTCCTCGTCCTCGGGCCGCGCGGCTCACGGCACCCCGAGACGAAGGCGAGGCCGCCCACGCAGTGACGAGCTCAGGGCGTCACAGGGGCTGCGCGGCATGCCCGGCAGCGCCCTCACCCCAACCAGCGACCACCAGCAGCACAACGTGCACAGCGACACGGTGAATGGCCTGGGCCACAACGCAACGACACATCCACACCCACATCCGCGAGACGCCGACGAGCACAACAGCATCGCCCTGGACACGCTGGGCCGCGCCGTGCTCACAGGTCAGTGCGCCCACGAGTACTTCACAAACGCCCTGGACCGCACAAGCACGACCTGGGGACGGCCCTGATGGGCCGGGGGCGGAGGACGAGGAAGTGGTTGGTGAGAGCAGTTTGTGAGGTTTTGGGGTGGAGGAAGTGCGCGCCGCCGCCGCCGACCCGCAGTCCTCTCTCTTAGCTTCCTCCCCTCCTGCGTTCGGTCCTCGGCCCGTCCTTTCGTGGCCTCCTTCGCCCCTCTCTTTCGGGCCCCCCGCCCGTCTCCCCCCCCTCGTCCCTCGCCGGCCCCGCCACCAGCCGAGCGTGCCGTTTTCCGTAACGTCCCCCTTCGCTCGCCAGAGGTGGGGCGGAGGGGGGGCTCTGGCAGCGTCCGTAAGGCTCTCATGCCGTGGAGGAGAAGGGAGGAGGGGGAGGAGGGAGGATGGGGAGGATGGGGAGGAGGAGGAGGAGGAGGAAATGGAGGAAGAGGAGGAGGAGGAGGAGGAGGAGGAGGAGGAGGAGGAAGAGGACGAGGAGGAGGAGAAGGAGGAGGAGGATGTTCAGGTCGTCGCGTTTTCTCGCCGAAGGTTGTTGTTTCCTCGGCCGCTTCGGGACGTCGTCCTCTGGATGCCGGGGTTTCCCAGTGACTGGCAAGAGTGTCCGGAGCAGCGTCGGTGCCAGCCCGCGGGCCCGGCTGGGCCGGCGGGGCATGCTTCCCAAGGTCGAGAGGCACAAGGAGATCGAGAAGTTTAAGCGCCAGGAGGTCTACACGCCGTCGGCCAGCCGCCGCCCAGGGCACAGTGCGTTTTAAGTCCCACCCTTCCTGGGGACAGGTTTCTTTCCCCAAGGGCTTGACGAGTTTTTGCCAATCGACTTTGTAGGGATCCAGCCAGACAAATCCAGGTATATGCAGATAAATCGAGGTAGATCCTGGTAGCTCTGGGCAAATCAAAGTAAATCCAGAGATCTCCAGGGACATGGTGGGCAAATCGCGGCCGTTCCAGCGCGAGTGGAGGGACGCCAAAAGTCGTTAAGCCCTCAACGGGTCTCCCACCCAACAGGTTGGAGCTGTTTGGGTTGGAGATAGAAGCTCCCGACCCGCCGGTCACACCCTGCATACCGCGCCCGCCAGGCCTCACGTGTCCCAGGGCTCTCTGGGTATCCCGTCCCGCGTCTTCGACGAATGGCGCCTGCAAGCCATATCCCGTGTCCTCGGCCGCCAGGCCCCAAGGGTCTGGATGCTCCCTGTGTGTCCCGCCTCTCCTTACCGGGTGGGGCTGGGATCGTTCGAAACATAGTATCATCCTGTGTAGTTGTTTGACGGCCACCGGGCCCCGCAAAGGCCCCTGGAGGCCGAAGACTGCCAAAAGCGATCCGTCGCGATGTTTGTCACGACGCGAGGATGTCAGGTCCGTGGGCGGTGTCCCCCTCCTTCGCCTCCGCAGCCAGCTTTCAGTCGGGCCTGTCCTCTACTACAGGAGGAATTTTCAAAAATAGTGAAAAATAGTCTGGGGACATTGTTTCGACAATTTTATGTTATGTTTGAACATTTGTCGAATATATTTTTTGTTCCTCCCATATCCGCCTGAAGGAGGACATGCCCGCCCTCAAGCCAGCTGTGGCTCGAGCCTCCGTCGCTCAGGCGGCCCTCCCGGGGGGTCCCATTTTTGGATCTGGCCGATCCGATGTCCGACGTCGGCTCCAGCGGGCTCGATCCGATTCGGTTCCGACGTTCTGGCGTTCCGATGAGTTGCCATGAAGGAAGCGGGTCCAAAAAGAAACGGGTCCTGCGGTCTTTCTTTCTTCGGTTTTGGCTCAGGCCGATCAGCTAGCTGGTCCTAGGGAAAGGCCCTGTGTCAAGGATCCGTTTTCCTGAAGACCCGTTTCTTTCATGCCAGTTTCAGCTCTGTGCTTGTTGCGTGGGCTGTCGAGCATCCTGGCGCGGAGGAAGGCCGGGCCAGCCGAGACCGCGACTGCTTTCCCGCCCGGCCCAAATCCGTTCAAAGCCGGCTTATCCCAGGGCTCGAGCTAAACGTTGTTTTGGCGATTTCGTGGACTGTCTTCGTTTTGATTTCGTTTTGCAGCAAAGTCGGAACGAAGAACGAGACAAACAAGAAGCAAACCGGGTCCCAAGGTTCGTCGTCACCCGTTCTTCGAGGCAGATCCGGCCATGGCGACGGAAAGCGCGCAGGAGTCTTCAAAAGGACGAGACACGCCAGGGACGCCGCCGTGGCCTTGACTGGCCGTCCTCCGATCGACGGGGCCCTGGCGCGCGCCAAGACAGCGCGCGACAGGAGCACGCGCAGGCGCAGGGCTCACTTCGATTCCTCCGACCCGACTCGATTCGAGTCCGAGCGATTCCGATTCCGGTTCCACTCGACTTCGGATTCCGATTCGGATTCCGGCTTCGTAAAGGAGGTCTGACTCGCCTGTCCATTTTCGCCGATCCGACTTCTCCCGACAAGGTGGCCGAGCTCCGCCGATCCGGTGCATGTCGATCGCCGATCCGATTTGTCGATGCGATTCTGGGCTCTCCTGCAGGCGAGCCTCACAATCGCCGGGTTCCCAGTGGAGGTGACGTGGTCCGAGACGAGCACGACGCAGGCGGCGCGGGTGCAGCAGCTGCAGCAGCTCGCCGACGGTGCTGCCCAGGCCATCTTCAAGGAACCGTAGGGGGAGGCTTTCCTGACGGGGGAAGAAGAGACCATGGCCAAGATGTCGAGGGATTTTGTCGACGCCGATCTTGGCCATGCGAAGATGATCCGCGAATCGGCGATGACCGAGATCTGCAGCGTCGTTTCCGCGCTCAGTCTTGTCATCATCCTGATTGTTTCTTGGTTGTAACTCCTGGGATGTCACGCTTACGCATCGGCGCTGGAAGATCTCCGCGGCCACAGGCAACCCTGCTCCAGCCCATAGTCCCGTGCCCCTTGGCTGCAATCCCGCCTGATCCGGCTCAATCTGGGGCCTGATCTGGCCTGATCCGGCTAAGCGGCCCATTGAGGCACTCGGGCCCGATTGCCCTTCACGGTTCCCGCGAAGGCCCCCTGCAGGAGTTGCAACCCGACCCCCTGCCGGGCGCGGCCAGCCTGGGCGAGAGCCGGACACACATCTGGTCAGATGTCTTGCCCGCGCGCGGCCCCTCCATGGCCAAGAGTCGGCGATCCTCCACGCGCGCATCCAGCAAGATGCCTCCGCGCGTTCCGCATGCGAGTCCAGCCATGCGCGTGTGTTTTCCAGCCGCCTGATCATCCTTCTCTCCCCTCCCCCGCGAGGAGACCATGGCCTCCCCCACCTGGTCTTAGTCAGGCCTGGGCGACTGTGAGAGGTGGTTCGTTCCTTCGTTCACGTCTCCTCCTCCCTCCCACCCTTCGCTGCTCCTGGCGCGTCCCCGCGCTTGGAGCGTCAGCGTGGCCAGCACGTCATCAGGGCCCAAGGGCGGGTGGCGGGGTGCAAGGGGAACGTTCGGGTGCGCACAAGTGTTGTTACTGGAAAGCCTTGCTTTGAGTAGTGACTCACCGTCGTCGTCAGGCGTGTTGTTCCTTTTGATGTGTCTGGCGGGAGCGCGCAATCGGAATTATCCCAGAGAGCGGATTCCCGTATTGCACGACTTGTTCTGCAATCTCTCACGTGTTGCACGTAGTAGACATGTTGCACAGCCTCTGCATGCAGCAATTTTAGCTCCTTCACGATGCTGTGCGCTATCACATGGCCCCCCCATCCTAGGATGCAACTCCTGGGAGGTTTAACTTGTCAACCTGCTCCCTTAGTCGGACGCGACACGTCAATGCACACTGTTCCTTCTTGGAGCGAGCGTTTGAGCGGCCACGGCAGCGCAGCGGCCTCGGGCTCCGTTTTTGGTTGCACGCCCTCGCAGTTCCCCAGGCGCTCCTGCTCCACCCCGCTCGGCCTTGCCTCGATATGACCTTCACTCCGCCCGCAGCCTCGGAAGAGGAGCTGCGCTCGGAGTGGAAGGTGGTGAAGCGGCCCGTGGGGCTCAACACCGTGCAGCTGCTGAAGGCTGGCAGCACCGGGCTGGGCCTGTCTCCGGCCCAGTGCATGAAGGCAGCCCCCTGGGCGCCGAAGCCGCTACCGCCTGTGCCGCGGCTGGTGCTAGTGCTGCTGCTTCTACGAGCTGCTCTGTTTCACTGGTTCCCTCCTCCCTCCTCTCTGATAGCTGGACGGGTGGGATTCAGCATCTGGTTGATGGGGTGACGGGCCAGAGGACGCCGTCCTCATGCAGCTCCTTCTCACGATCCTGTTTTCATCCTCTCATCCTCCCTGATCCTACCTTCCCTCTCCCCCTCCTCTTCGATCCTGTCCCTCCTCTCGTCCTCCCTCCACGTTTTCTTCCTGCACCTTCTGTTCCTGGAACCCTACATCCCAGTCCTCTTCTGGGACCTCCCAGAAGCCCACAGACCCCCCAGGACCACCCTCGAATCATTTGATAGGCACGACAGCATGACAATCCCCGTTGTCGTCGTCGTTGTATTCCACCTACGAAACCAGGCTCGTTCACCCGATCTTTGTCTCACTCGGATACTTAAATCACCCGATTCTTCACTTACCCGCGCCTAACTCCCCTGGTCCTTAACTCACCCGGTCTAACTGACCCGATCCTGCATTCGCCCAGTCTAACTCACCTGGCCTTAACTCACCCGTTGGTTAATTCACCTGGCCTTCTCTCACCCAGCGCCTAACTCACCTGGTACTTAATTCACCCTTCCTTACCTCTCCCGGTGCTTAAATCACCTGGTGCTTAATTCACCCGGTCGTTATCTCATCTGGTGCCCAATTCACCCAGCGCCTAACTCACCGGGTGCCTGACTCATTCGGTGCCTAATTCATCCTGTGCCTAATTCACCCGGTGCCTACTTCGCCCTGTCGCTAATTCACCCGGTGCTTGACTCACCCAGCCGTTAACTCACCCGGTACCCAACTCACCTGGTGCCTAATTCATTTGGTGCCTAATTCACCTGGTGCCTAATTCACCCAGTCGCTAACTCACCTGGCTGCAAACTTACCTGCATGGTCGTTAAATCACTGGGTGCTTAACTCACCCAGTGCTTGACTCACCCCGTGCCTAAGACATCTGGTGCTGAACTTATCCGATGCCAAACTCACCCGGCACCTCACTTACCGTGCGCCTCACTTACCCAGCGCTCGACTCACCCGGCCCTTACCCGCCCGACGCCTAGCTTACCCAGCGCCTGACTCGCCCGGCGTCTGCGCCTAACTCATCCGGTGCCTCATTCGCACGGTGCCCAACTCACTCGGCACTTAAATCATCCGGCGCCTGCGCCTGGCTTGCCCAGGGCCTACCTCACCTGGCTCCTGAGTCACCCATCGCCTAACCCACGCGAAGACCAACATTTTCAGCGGCCTCCCCCTCTCCCTCCTCCTCGTCCGCCGCTTCGTCGTCGTCCTTCTCCTCCCTCCTCCTCCTCCTTCTCCTCCTCCTCCTCCTCCTCTTCCTCCTCGTCCTCCTCCTCCTCCTCCTCCTCTTCCTCCGCCTCCTTGTAATCCTCCTCCTCGTCCACCAGCTCCTCGTCGTCCGCCTCTTCGTCCGTTTTGGGAAAGGCGCGAGCAAGGAGTGCCGAAGACGCGCAAAGCGGGGACGGCGGCGGCGACAACGACGACACCGACGGCGACGCGAGCTAAAGGAAGAACGCAGAGGAGAAAGAGGGAGAGAACGGTAGAGAGGAGGCTCGGTTTTAAATGCGGCCCCAGACGACTCCATGACCAGCCACACGCGCAGCACTCGCTGCAAAACGCCGCTATTTTTTCAAGAGGGCCGAACTCACCCGGCGCCAACCCCAGACAGCTCACCCGGGTCCCCTGCCAATCAAATCTGAAACTCTGATCCGGATCGGCCAGGCATCGGATCGGACGGCATCGGAAGGCGCGCCCCCCGCAGGGCAGCAGAGGCTCAGGGCGACGACGCCGACGCCGACGGCGGCGCGAGCTGACGGGGAGAGAGCGGGGGGGGGGAAGGAGGAGAAGACGGGGGAGAGAGGGGGGGGACAATCAGGCGATCGCACACATGGATCAAGGGGGCGTGGATTAGCGACGGGTCCCCTTTCCAGGAGAAATCGCGGATTTCCGCCGCCGAGCGAGGCGGCACAGGCCGCATTTTGGGGAGGGCACCTCCCCCGATCCATGGATTTGGCGACCGCGCGCCAAATCCATGGATCGCTAGTCCATGTTTGCGCGCCCCCGAGACAAGAGGGTCATTGCTCGCCCCGCTCACCCGGTACCCACGTAATCGTGCCAACACACATCCGGATCGGAACTCACCTGGCGCCGAGCTCACCCGGCCGCGCTCACCTAGCGCGGAAGTCACCCACCGCATAGCCCACCAGGCGCTTCAGCGGAAACGCCGACACCGACACCCGCGAAAGAGGCGCTACAAAACGCCGTTGTTTTTGAGAACCTTCCGACCCAGGACTGAGAAGAAAGCGCTGGCTCGCGCAAGGAAGAGACGCGCTAGACAATGCCGCTGTTTTGGAGGCAAGCCGAGGAGATGCGAAAACATCGCTGCCGAGTATACATCCGCACCGAGACACGAAAAGGAGGCGCTACAACATGCCGATGTTTTGGAAAGCGCCCCGAGCTCACGCTTATCAAATAATAAGACACTGACACAAGGAAGAGACGCGCGAAGAAAGAGCGGGTGGGGGAAGGAGGAGAGGACGAGAAAGGGAGACTGAGGGGAGGGGCGAGAGGTTCATTTCTCACCCCGCTCACCTGGCACGCACCTCACCGTGCCAAACACAGCCAGGTCGGAACTTTTCTAGCGCCGAAATCACCCGCTCGCACTCACCTGGCGCGGAAGTCACCCAACGCATCCGACACCCGCGGAAGAGGCGCTAATTACAAAACGCCGCTGTTTTTTAGCACGCACCAATCCAGGCCTGAGAAGAAAGCGCTGGCTCGCACAAGGAAGAGACGCGCTAGAAGGTGCCACCGTTGTGGAGACTGCGACTGGAAGACGACGCTGCAGAAGATACGCCTTCACCGACACAAGAAAGCGAGGCGCTACAAAACGTCGCTGTTTTGGAAAGCCAGCACCCCGAATCCAAGCTGAACAGGGAATTCTTCACGCTTCGCGTACCCCCAGCAGCTTCCTCCCCCCCTTTGGTGGGGCCTATGGACCTCTGTGGTCCAGCCTAGACGTTCCGTGTTCTCGCCACGCCGCGGTTGCAACCCTGGTTTCAGTATTGGAGTTCTCCCCGCGGTGTCCGTGTACGTCTGTCGCCACCACCGGTGTGCTGACTGCGGGCACGTGCTCCCTATTCAGGGCTTCTGGTGCGCGACTTCGCTGGCGCCACCTCTTGCACCCGTCTGGCCCTGGGTCACGGCTTGGTTCCCCGAGCTTCCCACGGTCGTTTTCGTGGTGCCCCCGCGCCATTTTGGCCGCGCTGCAGCTTGACTGCTCTTCGCACTTATGCGTGCTGCTACTGTTGGACCTCCTGGCCGCGGCCACCCTGGTCTCTCGCAGCTTGCCGATGCTCACGCCCACTCTGGGCACCCAATTCGACCTCCGACTGTCGGTTCACTTGGCTGCGGCCACCCTGGTACCTTCGCAGTAGTCCGGGGGCTTGCGCCCTTGCAACTAATTCTCGTTTGCAGCTATCCCTGGTCGTTGGTTACCCTGGCCGCCTGCTGCTTCCGACGCGTTGTATGCTGCATGCTTGCACCCTGGCAGTACTGGTATCCAGCTTACCGCCAGCCTTTTCCACTCGCCGGCCCGCCGCCGAGGTGCTGCGTCAGGCTCCGGCCCACCACTTTAGGTTAGTTCGTCTTTGCGCGCCCCGTTCTGACTGGACTCGCCGCTGGCGCGCTCGCCTGCGGCCGCTGACTAAAAAAGTACCCCCCGCAGCCGAATTCGGAAACCCTGCGCATGAGAGTTGACGGGAAAAGAACCGAAGCGGCACATATAGTGAAACAAAGCGGTCAACCAGGGTGAGCTGAGAGATTTGTGGGAGCAAGGGGGGGGCCTTGAATGGCCTCTTGACCAGGAAGAGAAGGAAAGGAAAAGGAAGAAGATGAGGGCAAGGAGGAGGAGGAGGAGGAGGACGAGGACAGAGCCTTAAACATCGCCTCTTAGAGAGCTCGTGGACCTCTTTTAAACGATATTGGCCCTCTTGGAGCTCTCGTGGCGGCCTGTCTGGAGCCCTGGGAGCGTCTTGGAGGTATGGTGGAGGCAGTTGGTGGAAACTCCTGGTCGGACATAAACAGTGGACGCGCTACAAGACATAGACAAATTTGCAAGAGTGGCCCACGGTGGAAGAGGCATGGCTGCAATAGTACAGGCAGGAGGTGCAGTACAAATGCCTAACCCACCCGGTGCTAAATTCACCTGGTGCCAAACTCGCTCGGTGCCAAACTCACCTGGTGCCTAACTCACCCGATTCTGAACTCACCTGGTGCCTAACTCACCCGCTGACCAACTCACCCGATCGCTTACTCACCCGGGCCTAAACCATCCGATGCGTAACTCACATGGTGACTAATTAATCCGGCTCCTAACTCACCCCGTGCCTATCTCACCCGTTGCCTAGCTCACCTGGTTCTTAACCCACCCAGTGCTTAGCTCACCTGGTGCTAACTCACCCAGTGCCTAACTCACCCCTGTAGAGCCTAACTTACCCGGTGCCTAACTTACCCCGTGCCTAACTCACCCGGTGCCTGACTCGACCGACGCCTACCTCACCCCGTGCCTACCTCGCCCATCGCCTACATCGCGCAGTGCCCAACACACCTGGTGCTTAACTCACACGTTGCCAAACTCTCCCGTTGATTAACTCATCCAGTGCCTAACTCACCCGGTGCTTAACCATCCATCCTTTTCTCACCCGGTGCCTAACTCACCCAGTTCTACCTCGCCTGGTGCTTGACTCGACCGACGTCTACTTCACCCGTGCCTACCTCGCCCAGCGCCTACGTCGCCCAGTGCACCCGGTGCTTAACTCACCTGGTGCCTAACTCACCCGATGCTTAACTCATCCAGTGCCTAATTCACCCGGTGCTTAACTCACCGGGTGCCAAAGCACCTGGTGTCTAATTCACCCGGTTCTAATTCACCTAACTCACCTGGCCTAACTCACCAGATGCTTAATTCACCTGGCTAATCTCACCCGGTGCTTAATTCACCCAGCTTAGCTCACCCAGTCGCGATAGACCCGGACTGGGGGTCGTGAATCGGAGCCGGTGGAATCGCGATCGGATGAACCAGCTTGTCTCCCTACCCCACCCGCCCACCGCCAACCCGCGGGACCCCCACCCCCCGAGCCCACCTCCCCTCCTAGAACGCTCCGGGGCCCGCTCAGGCCCTCTGGCACCCTCGAGGCTCATTGGAAACCTCCAAAGCCCTCCTTCTCTCTCTGCCCTCCTTCCTGTTTTTCCTTCCTCCTCCCTACCTCCGTCCGTTGTCCGCTGTCAGTCATGCACTGGCTTCTGGCAGCCCCGACTTTGGAAGCCGCCCCTCAGTCCTCCCCTCCCTCGTCGTTATCCCCCGCCCCTTCTTCACCCGAGGTCGCCGAGGGTCTGTACTCCGCTGGGTACATCTCGTACCCGAGGACAGAGACCACGAAGTACTCGCCGACGTTCGACATCCGGGCCGCGCTGAGGGAGCAGGACTGGGAGGACGAGGAGAAGCAGGATGCGGAGGATGACGATCTGGAGCGGAAGAGGAAAGGGAAGGAAAGAAGTCGTGGGGATAGGAGGAGGAGGACGAGGAGGAAGAGGATGAGGAGGAGGAGGAGGAGGACAAGTGTAAACCCAAGAGTCAGCAACGATATTGGAATAACCCTCCCTCCAAGCTCCCCTGTCATAGGCTCCCACAACGGTTAATTTCCATTGAGGGAACTGCCTCGTTGGATGACAACCGTTTGAATACCCTGAAGCATGCCAAAACATTGTTCTCGGCAGTCCAGCGCCACGGATCAACCTGACTGTTGCGTAACTGTTGCGCTAGCATAATCCTGAATCCTTCCAAAACGCCATCTCTGGTACGTCGATCATGGGAATTCGTGCAACTCTTGCAAATGTTGTAAGACGAATGTGCGCGGCGCTAAGGCGAGAGCCACATGTTGACAACGGCCCTCCCTCAACCCGTGAAAGTCTTGCAACATTTTAGAACGAATGTGCGCGGCGCTCCGGCGAGAGCCACATTTTGAAAACAATCGCCCTCAATCCGTGAAGCTCTCGAGCATTGTTTAAGCGAATGCGCGCGGCGCCGAAGTGAGAGCCACATTTTGAAACCGACCCGCCCTCCATCTGTGAAACCGTTGACATTTGGAAGTTTCAGAGTCATAAGCGGTTAGGCCGGCCAGCGGGCCCGCTCTAAAACCTGGCCTCGGGGTGCGACAGGGAGAATTTATTTACAGGGGAGAGGAATGGAGAAGGAGGTTGAGGAGGAGGAGGAGGAGGAGGAGGAGGAGGAGGAGGAGGAGGAGGAGGAGAGGGAGGAGGAGAGGGAGGAGGAGGCAGAGGAGGAGGAGGAGGAGGAGAAGGAGGAGGTGGAGGAAGAGCATGAGGAGGAGGAGGAGGAGGAGGAATATGAGGAGCATCAGGTTTAAAGTATGTGAGAAAGAAATGGGAGAGGGTGCGACGACCACATGCCGTCCTTGCAACCGAGCGACTGGCATGGATGCCGACAGAGTGTACCAACAGGATCTGCGATTCAAGGCACAGGACCCTCCTAAGGTTTGCCCGTCTTGGGATGACGCCCGGCAATCAAGCTCTCCAGAACACGGCGACGGCTGGGTGGAAGATCGTGCAGGCCAGGGCAGGGGGCTCGAAAGGCTGGTCCCACGCTGACGGCACCGTAGGCCCCACGCTGCCGACAGCAGAGGTACGCACCCGCGGCAGTAACATAGTGACCCCCTGGCACGTGACGCGCCTGGGCGTCTCCTTCAGGCGTCCCAGGGCCGCCAGGATCCGCCCTAAGGCCGCCTACCTCGCCACCAGGGGCAGGGAGAGGCCCATCCCCGGGAGCTTCCAGAGCGAGAGCGGCCGCAGGCTCCGCAGAGCCCTCGGCCGAGAAGGAGGACGAGGAGGAGGATGGCCAGTGCAAACCCAAGACTCATCTACGGTGTTCTAGTAAACCCTCTCTCCAAGTTGCCTCCTTCATGGGTTCCCACAAACACTTACTTGCACTGAGGGAAGTGCCCCGTTGGAAGACACCGGTCTGAAAATCTTGAACCATGCCAAGAACACCGTTCTTGGGACCTCAACGCCGCGAACCAACGTTCTTGTCGCGTCGTGACGACCCCGACTCGCGCTAGAACAGCATCCCTTGGACTGCAACACCGCGAATCAACGTGATTGTTGCGCCCTGACAGTCTTACATCGTGCCAAATCAAGAGTCTGAGACGTCAATCTTAAGAACCTTTGAAACTGTTGTATATTCTTACGACAAGTTTGCGCGGCGCTAAGGCGCGACCCATATGTTGAGAAGGAACAGCCCTCCATCCTTGAAGTTCTTGCAGGCTTTGAGACGAATGTGTGCGGCGCTGCGGCGAGAGCCGCATTTTGGAACCCGCCCGCCCTCCATCCGTGAATCTCTGGCATGGTTTTGAGATGGACGTGCGCGGAGCTGCGGCGAGAGCCGCATTTTGAAGACGGCCCGCCCTCCATCCGCGAAGCTGTTGCACGCTTGTAGGACGACTGTGCGCGGCGCTGAGGCGAGAGCGACATTTTCAAAAAGGCCCGCCCTCCATCCGTGAAGCTGCTGCACATGTAGGTTTCATGGTCATAATTGGTGAAGAAGTCTCAGGCGAAACGCCCGGCCCGCCCTACCGACACGTCTCGGGGTGCGACAAGGGGGAGTTATTCAGAAGGAAACAGAGTGGAGGATGCGGGCCGAATCGCCTCGGCTGGCAAGCACGTCTAGAACCACAGCGCCGTATGGGGCTCGCCGGGGGAGCCACAATGGAGATGGAATGTCAGGAGTCACTCGAGACAGGTGTGTTGTGGCTGCTGTTCTTCATACTACTTTTGTTATTAATCCATCAGGCTTTGCTGATTTTCTGCCCCCAGCTGGTGGAGGTGCAGGTGGATGAGAATGCGGAGCTGGAGGAGCAGGAGAAGGAGAAGGAGAAGTATGGACTTGTATCATGGTCATGTGGCTGATGATGATGATGATGATGATGATGATGATGATGATGATGATGATGATGATGATGATGATGATGAGGATGAGGATGAGGATGAAGATAAGGATGATGATGATGATGATGAGGAGGAGGAGGAGGGGGAGGACATGCACGAGTTGAGAAGGGAGGCGACGGAGCGAGGGGGATTCGGAGGATGACGCAGGACAGGGAGATCTGCAAAGGATCGCGAGAGAGAGAGAGAGACATACACACATATACAGAGGAATAGAGGGAGAAAGAGAGAGAGAGAGAGAGAGAAAAAAAAAAAAAAAGAGTGCGAGGTAGGTTGGGTGAGCGAGAGATGGGGAGAGCTAGAACAAGTATATATATATATATATATATACACATATACACATGCGCACGTGTGTAGACATGTATGTTAGACAGCGTGGACCCCAAACAGTCGTTGTCTTACCATATATGTGGCGAAACCTTGGTGGTGCAATCAATTTGGTGCAATCCAGGTGGTGCAATCTTTGTGGTGCAAAGCAAATCAATGCAACACAACGCAAAGCAATGCAAAACACTGCAACGCGCTGCAACGCAATGCAAATCAATGCAACGCAAGGCAAAGCATCGCAGAGCACTGCAATGCAATGCAATGCAACTACATGCAAGCAGTGCAAAACATGCCAAAACAGTGTATCTCAATTCGAGGCAATGCGAAGCAATGCAAACCAACCCAAATACTTGCAACATGAACGCAACGCAATGCATCGCAATGCAAAGCAATCCACAAAGCAATCAATGCGTTGAAATCTAACGGCGGCGACATGGCGTCGACGGCGAGGACATAGCCGCCAGACCGACGCACAGGCCCAGACCATGAGCGGCGACGAGGCGGCGAAGGGGCGGCGACGGCGGCAACATAGCCGCCAGACCGACGCACAGACCAAGTGTCTTGTTCCAGAAGTGGGACCCCTAAGTCCAAGCACTGTTTGGGGAATGCAGGTATACAGGGATCGGTGAAGTGACAACGACACGCACCCGCACACACATGTATGTGTGTGTACTTCATACGTGCACGTGTTTAGACACACCTAGAGAGAGATATTCGCAGAGTGTGTATACATATGTATACATGTTTATGTATATATATACATATATATGTATACACGTACATTTGTAGCTGTTGATATGTGTGTACACATGTACAATCGTTGTAGAGATATCGAAGCAACAAACATAAACACCATGAGAGAGAAAGGAAACTAACGACAGAGAGGGAGAGAGACATATCGAGAGAGAGAGAGACGAGGATGTGAATGCGTGAAGGCCTGTTTACCTGGCCGCTTCTCCAGTCCACCCCGAATCTCCCATCCCCCGTCGAGCCTCGAGAACGTATCCCGCTTCCCCCTCCCAGCTTGCCCGCTACCCCCTCTCCTGCTCCCCTTCCCAGCTCCCCCCTCCTCCCTCCCCCCGCCACCCCGCTTCGGGAGGAGGAGCAGGAGGAGCAGGAGCAGGAGGAGGAGGAGGAGCGGGAAGGCGAGGGCAGGAGAGGAGAAGGGAGGAGGATCTGGAGGAGGTAGGGGTGTTGCCGCCGCGGTTGTCTGCTTTTGCCGCTGCGCCCTGCCGCTGCGACGCTCCGCTGCCGGGACCTGCCGCGATGCCTGCCATCGCCACCGAGTCATGCAGGACGGCAGGGAGTGTGCGGGCCTCCTCGCCTCCAGCGCTGGCAGCCCCGAACACTACAATCCCAGCTTCGCAGTGGTGGCGCTGTGGGCGTCCGCGCAACGAGTGGGTGACCATGGTGCAGAGAGGGTCATTTCGTGCCAAACTGAGTTCTGACCTTGTGCATGATCAGCGCATGTGGAAGCACAGTTTTGCACAGTGCTGTCAGCGTCCACGCGTCTCTGGCGTATGACCTGTGTGTATGTGTGCGTGCTGGCAGGAGGGCCACCCGAGCTGGGGCAAGACGGTGAGGTATCTGCTCAGCCAGGCGGCCCCCTTTTCGCCCCTGGTGCCCTCCCCGCCGGCACCGGAAGAGGAGCGCCTCGCGGCGAGCACCCGCTCGCGGTTTCCCGCCCTCTTCCTCCTCCACCGCCTTCTCCCTTCAACCTCCCTCGTCCTCCTCCTCCTTCTCAGCGTCGGCGGAGCCGAATCGGCATCGGCATCGCCTCGGATCGAGTGAGTCCGACGCATAGTCGCTGGCCAATGACGCCGCCACTCCCTAGTGCATCCCAGCGTGACGTATAGAATAGGTCGTCCTCTTCCATGAGAGCGCGAAGATTCGCCTCGGAACTCCACCTGAGGCTCTTGCATAGCTACAAGGTTTCATAGTTGCATAGCTCCTCCAGGCTCTGAATTTTTGCATAGTTACATGTAGTGCGCACTATGTAACGCAACTGTGTGATGTCAGCTATGTAAGTACTGCAAACTATGTAATGCTACATGTAATTATAGCGGTGCAACTACGCAATGCAACTACGTGGTGCAATATATGTGGTGCTGTGTATGCGTTGCAACCTGCGTAACGCAATCTATATAGCATGTGCAATCTATGTGGTGCACGGTGCAACCTTTTAATGCAGCTTATGCGTTGCGATGTATGTGGTGCAACGTATACGATGCAACCTATGTAATGCAACCCACTCTGTACAATATATGCGGTGCAACGCATGTGATGCAACCTCTGGAGTGCAGTCTAGCGGTGCAGTCTTACGTGCTGCAATGTATGCGATACAACCTGTGTAATGCAGCCTATGCGGTGCAACCTATGTGGTGCAGTGCATGCGATGCAACCTGTGGAATGCAATATATGCGTGGTGCAATCTATGCGACGCAACCTATGTAATGCCATCCATGCGATGCAACCTGTGTGGTGCAATGTATACGATGCAACCTATGTAATGCAGCCTATGCGGTGCAGACTATGAAAGGTGCAATGCATGCGTTGCAACATATATATATGTATATATATATATATATATATATAGAGTGCAATCTATGTAGTGCAATGTATGCGATGCGGCGACGGCGACGGGCGGCGACGGCCGGGGATGGCGCCGACGGGCGGCGATGGTGACGGGCGGCGACGGGCGGCGACGGGCGGCACGTGCGGCGACTGGTGGGGATGGCGGCGACGGGCGGCGACGGCGACGGGCGGCGACGGGCGGCACGGCGGCGATTTCGCGGCGATGGTCCCGAAGCGACGGCGACGGGCGGCACGGGCGGCGACGGGCGGGGATGGCGGCGATGGGCGGCGACGGCAACAGGCGGCACGGCGGCGATTTTGCGGGGAGCGTCCCGAGATGTTTAACGCAAGTAAGAACCCCTAAGTGCAAACACCTGTTTGCGGAACATTGCAAAGCATCGATTGCACAACATAGGTTTCACAACATGTTTCGCACCACAAAAATTGCACCCAACATACTGCACAACATAGATTGCACTACATCTGGTTCACAACATGGAATGCAACTCATACACTGCACACCATGAGCTGCGCAACATGGATTACGCCACATCTGTTGCACCACAATGGTTGCACCACATAAAGCGCAGCACGCGGACATCACAACAAAGTTCGCACCACATAGTTTGCATAATGTATTCTGCATAGCGTGCATTCCACCATTCACAAATGTAGACAAATGTATACGCACACACACACACACACACACATATATGTATATATATATATGTATATATGTACACATATATATATACATATGTATAGATGCTGCTCCGCACATCGTAGGTCACGTGGATAGCGCCACATAACATGCTCCGCATAAATAGCATCACATATGTTGCACCACATCTGTTGCACCACCTCGATTGCACAACGAATGCTACACATCTTAGTTTGCACAACATAAATGGCACGACAGACATTGCACCACATGTTTTGCACCAAGCAGATTGTCCCACAGATATTGCACCCCAAAGGATGCTCCATTGCACCACATAGGTTTCTAGAAGCACACTGTTTGGGGTCCTCACGGGCTACCTGGCTGTCACGACTCTGCCCCGTTCTTCCTCGGGCCGCATGCGCTCCCCTGCTTCCTCCTCGAGAGGGAGCAGCGGGGCGGCCGGGTGCCGGCCTCCTCCGTGCCGCTCGCCCCGTCCGCCCCCTGCACCCCGGACTCCCTCCAGGGATCGCTTTCGGTGGGTGCCGTGGATGAGGAGCCATCGGATAAGGAATCCATGTTCTGGAGACCGGTGGGACTGCAATCGTGGAGCGGCCATGTGTGTAACAGCCGCCCTCGTTGGATAGGGAAATCCTCCAGGTTCTGCAGCCTCGCGGACGCATTCCGGAACGGACGCCCCCACCGCATCAGATGTTGGAGGAATGCTGAGCGTGCCATCGTGGCCCTTGTTCCGCGGATGACGCCTTCAGCGCGTCTCGCCTTTGGCGGAAGTTGGCGGCAGTTCGGCGGAAGGTTGCGGACGGAAACGCGAGACGTCAACATTTTCTGGACTCAGGTTCTCCAGATTCCCATTTGTCGGAGGTGGACAGACCTCCTACCCTGACACGTCGATTAAGGAATTGGCCGTTTTCGGTTCGCGAGAGGGCGTTGCGGCCGTCATTTTTGCGGGTCCAGGTCCGTCGACTTCGGCCTTGGGTCGTTTTCACTCAGGGGAGGTTCACTAAAGGGAGGTTTGTACACCGCCGACTTGGAGAGGTGCATGCGTCCCGAACCTCGCCTGGAGCACGGTTCTTGCCCGCGCGTGGGGGGTGCTTCTCACTTCCAGCCGTATTTTGGCGGCTCCCAGATATGTTGAACATCTTCGGTGTACGCCATCCCTCTTCCTCCTCCATCCCTGTTCCTGCATCCCCCTTCCTCCTCCGTCCCCGTTCCTCGAGCATGTATCGTCACGCCATCCGCACGCACGTTCGCCCGATCGCCCGATGCGAACTTCCAGGCCGACCAGGCTCTCGCCGCGGAGGCTCCCCTTTGGGCGCGCTGCTCCACCGGGCGCTCGCCGCAGAGAAGCAGCAGACTCGGAAAGACTTTTCTCGGCGGGGCTTGGGACCAGAGACCCTCCTGTCGTAGGCGATGTTTATCCCTCAATCCCCGAGTTCCGCCCGAAAAGTTTGGGCCGCTTAGAAAAACGGGGAAACCCTGGCATGCACCCCAAAGTGGCTATTCGGGCGCACACCTATCGAGGATGGACGCCCCCCCGCCTGTACCCCAGGGTTGGGCCCTTACTTTTTCCATGTAAAACGCCACGAAGCCTGGAATAGGGGTCGGGTCGACATATCCACCGTCATCCTGCCATCGGGCTCCCCGCGAGAATTTGTGTTCCCCCTTGTGGGCGCAGAGAACTCCGTGGCACCTTCCCAAGCTCAAGGCCGCCGAAGGATGTGCCCTTCGATGTCTGATAGCACCTTTTCTGGTCGTGGGCTTCTACAGTAGGTGCTTCGCTGGTCTTCCTTCCTCCCCCTGATCCCCATCGATGCCCTCGAGCCTTTCCTCCAACTGCTCCTCATCCTCTCTCCTCTCTTCGGCCCCCTTCTTCCGCTCCCTTCCTGTACCTCCGCCCCATCCTCTTCCTCTTCAGTCGGCTGCCTTCTCCTGCTCCTTCCCTCGCCCTCTTCCTGCCTCCCTCCTCACCTTCCTCCTCCGTCCCCCCCCACAAGAGAACATTCAGCCGCCAGTGTCTGGCACGGACTTCCTCTCCGCCCTACTCCTCCTCCCTCCTCCTTCCTCGTCCTTCATCCTCCCTTCACCTCCCTCCTCTTCCCTCCTCCCTCGCTCTTCCCCGTCCTCTACGTCGTCCCCCTTCCCCCCCCCGCCTGGCAGAGAGAAGCGCTGACAGGGGCATATTCAGTCGCCCGTGTCCGGCACTGACAAGGGGGACCATCCACCTATCACGCCGATGCGGGCTGCTCCTCGAGACGAGTTCAGCAAAGGCAACGAATGGAGACTTTATGATTATGTCACGCGGCATTTCATCGCCTCGCTCATGGACGACGTCGAGTACGAGCACCGGACGTACATGTTCGACATCGGCGGTGAGGAGTTCGTCTTCTCGCACGACGCCGTCACCGAGAGGGGCTTCCTGTATGCTACGCCATGGAGAGCACGAGACTTGCACTTGCACGAGATCGACTGGGAGATGCCAGAACTCAGACAGGGACAAAGTCTGCCAGTCGAAGAGGTTTGGGTGGAGACAAGCCAGACGAAGCCACCAGACTATCTAAAGGAGACCGGTGCGTCTCTGTTGAGCTTGCGCATGCCATACATGGTGCGCGCCAGCCAGTGTCCCAGAATCATGAGTTCAGCTTGAGCGGTCAAAGTGTGTTTGTCTGTGTGTATGTTAATGCGTGTGTGTGTGTGTGTGTGTGTGTGTGGGTGCGCGCGTGCGTGTGTGTTACAATGTGTTTGAATGTGAGTGTGTTCGTGTGTGTGGCTGCTTTTGGTCTGGCCCAGGTGTTCAGGTCAGTTGCATGCTGTGGTGCTGCCCTGTGAATTCTGGGCGGTTGGAGGGTCTTATCCGTCCTTCAGCCTTCGGCCCGACTTTACAGGCCGCAGCCTGGCAATGCCGATCGCCTGCCCCGTGTCGCCCAGGGAAGCCGACCTGGGGCGGCCTCCGCCCGTAGACGCGCTAACGGTGTGTCTGCAAACGGCGATGTAGGAAAACCACTTGTAGGAAAGCGTGACTCGTGACCCCAACTGTAGGAACGCGTGGCTTCGTGCGTTCCTGCAACTCGCTGTGTCGCTTTTGCTCGATACATTCACCTACTTGCAGTGTAGGAAGCGGTGGTTCGTGATTTCCGTCCTTCTGTCCTGCGTGAGCTCCGAGAAAAAGACAACGACTGCACCATCCGAGTGGCCAGCCCATCCTATACCGGCGCCCCGGGGCCCACCCGCTGCACCCGCGCAGGTGCCCTCTGTTTGCGGGGCTGTCACTGTCTTCTCGTCGGCGAGCGAGGGGATGGGGGGGTGGGAAGGAGAAGGCCTTCTCAGAAGGCGGCGGGACTTCTGGAATACACTGCCCCTCTGTTGTGGGGCATTTCTATAAAACGGGGCACGGGGGGCAAGGGGCTTGCACAGTTTTGGGGAGTCCGTGAATCAAGTATGGTCGGGCTTGTAAGGCTCGCGCGTGACCTTTCGCTTTGCGTCGTCCCCCTCCTCGCGACTCCCTCCTATCTCTCTCCGTGGAAGGGGCCGGGGGCATTCGCGGGGCGGGCGGAAGAGCGCTTTCATCCTCCTCCCTTCTTTGTCTTTGCCATGACGGTTTTTCCTTCCCCCACACGTTTTCAGTCTCCCCCCCCTTTTGCCCCCTCCCTGTTAGAAGAAAGCTGTGGAAATATCGCGCGCCACGCGCTCGCGTCAGCATTGTGCCACCTGCGCGGTTTTCAAAACAATGCAAGCGTCAAGTAGAGGGGTGGCCAATGCAAGCGTTTGGGGCTCGATCCAGGCATTGGCGGCAAAGGCCGCGCAGCATGCTCGTAGCACATGCGAATAAGCGTACCATGCGAGAGGCTATGTAGTCGCAAAGCTGTGTGATTTTTGTCCACAGGGGGTAATTTGGGAACCAATGTATGACGCTTCGCGTATGCCCGCCAGCCCATCCAGAAACAAATCGTAGGCGCGTTGCTTTGACTTCGGAAGTGCAGATGCATGCAGTGGAACCTCCGCCCACAGAGATACGCGGGAAACCGAATCCTACCTGCGAGGGGGAACCCATCCAGCACCGCATCCCTTGCATCTAGAACTAATGCCCAGACAAGTTGCCTGAGGAGCCTCAGGGAGGCCTCCTGGAACCACTTTGAAGGGATGGGGGCAGGATGGAGTTTCTGCGTCTTCTGAAAAGTTGTCTGTGCCTTGGGGGAGCGCATAGAACTTTCTCAGAAGGCCGGGGGACTTCCGAGCCTTCAGAGAAGGACTTCTCCTTCTCACTCCCCCCCTCCCGGGCTCGCCGCCAATCGCTGTCATGCCTTCCGCCCCCGCTCGGCCGCCCACGCCCGCACCTGGCCCGCGTGTCCCCGAACCCTGCCGCCGGCACGCCGCCCAGCGCCCCTGCGTCCACGTGCCGCACCCTCGGCGGCCCTCCTGGCGCGCGGGGGCACCGCAGAGGAGAGCGAGCTCGTGACCCTCATGGACAAAAACGGCATCGGCACGGGACTTAGTGGAACTTGGAAACGACAGGGACGTTTTCTTTTGGTTCGTATACACATAACAGTCGGACCGAGGTATAGGATCAAGGTCGGTTCGGGGAGGGCACCTTGGTGCTCGTTCGTTGGATGTTTATGTGCATCCTGGGAAGGGTACCCTTGGATGTTTTGTGTGTTCTGGCCGGCGGAGGGTCTCACGTTCCTGAGGGATGTTCTTCTGGCCTAGGTCCGGCTGTATCGTTTCAATGAATGTCGATCTTGCTATATTAAAGTGGTTAAACAAGGGCTCGCCGAAACGGCAAGAAAGGCCCCCGGATTGAAGCCGGAGTCGGAATCGGAAAAGCAATGGCGACGAGATTGGAAGAAAAATTGCGCCGGAACTCAGGAAAAACGGCAAAACGAACATGTGGGACAAAATTGCCTTATCGTTTTTCCTAGAGTCGCTAAGGCACGGACGCCTCCATCCCCCAGCACATGCAGAACGTGGTAGACCGCCACTACGTCCGGGCCTTCAGCGGCCCGGCTTCGGACCGCCGCTCGCAGATGCCACGCGGCCTGTTGTGCGGGCGGGAAGTTCTTTTGTGGCCCTCGCGGAGGCGGAGGAGGAGGAGGAGGAGGAGGAGCAGCAGCAGGAAGAGCAGCAGCAGGAGGAGGAGAGGGAGGCGGAGAGGGAGGGGGAGGAGGTGGAGGAGGAGGAGGAGGAGGGCGAGAAGGGAGGAGGACCAAGCGAAGGGAGGAGGAGAACAAATGAGAATGAGGAGGAGGACGAGGACGAGGAGGGAGGTGGAGGAGGGTCCTGACCCAGCGTGCCTCCTCCTCTTCTTCCTCTTCTTCTTCTTCTTCTTTCTCCCTTTTCCTCCCCATTCGTCGTCGTCTTGGCTCCTTCATCACCCCGCCCTTTCTTGCCATCTTCTCTGCGAGTCCTCCTCTTCCTCCCTTTTTTTCCTCCTCTGCCCCTGCTTGTTGGTACCTCTAGGGGGAAACGCACAGGCGGCGGCCCCCTTGAGGTACCAGCAAACTCGGCACACTTGATGCGGCTGGCCTGTGCGAGAGCCGGCGACACGTGCCGTCTGCACGCCTCATTCCAGCGCTCGGGCCTTCTCTGTGGCCGTGTGGGCGGGGCTCCCCTGAGCGCATCCAGCGCGCGGTCTCCGGATGTTCCGCATGTGAGCCGGCCCATTGTCTTGTGGCGCCGCTCGGCGATCACCACGGTATTCCTTCGCCGTTCCATCACCCTCTCTAGACTGTAAGCTCGGGGTAATCTTAATTGCGGCAGGGGAAGGTTGGTTCCGCATCAGCAAACGGAACTTGGATTCGCCCATGTGTGTCTCCAGCTTCCCGGCAGGCCCCCAGCCTGGGCCTCGGCTCAGAGCAGCAGGAGGTAATGATAACGATACGTTCCAAGAGTTCCGAGGTGTCCAGGATCCCCCGCACTTCCAGAAGCTCCACACCAGCTGCAGAAACGAGATAGACCATTGCTGGAAATCCTGGAACGTGTCCTGTGCCAATTTTTGCATGACATCTTTCTCGCCCTAGTGGCAGGCTTCCCCGGGGGCAGCCCGCAAGGAGGCCCTCTCGGCGCCGCGGCGCCTCTGGCCCAGATCTCCTCCCCGCCGCCTCGCTAGTGGCTGGCCCGACCAAGCTGTGACCACCCCCTCGCCGCTCGAGCCTCGGCCGACGACGATGCCCGGGGCGTTTTCACACAATTTCCGTCCCCTGGACCATCACAGATCGATCCGGCCTGAAGAGTAACGCAGAAAGTTAGGGTCTACGGCTCCAGGCATGCTTTTTTACGATCTTGCCAATTTTGTCGCTACGTCGGTTCTCGGGGAAGAGTGAGGGACGGGGAAAGGGAGGGGGTCGCCTCGGTTGTCGTCGTCGTCGTCGTCGATATATCGATCGTCGTCGAACGTCGCCAACCGCGTGCCATCATCTGCCCGGCCAGTGGCGGGGCCGACAGGCCAGCCACGGGGGGCCCTTCGACGGATCTGGACCTTCCCGGGGGTTCTGCCAGGTCTCCCCGAGCACGGCCAGCCCCTGTGGAAGGGGGCGATGACGATCACGATGAGGACGATGATGATCACGATGACAATGACGATGGCCCTAACGACGATGATGACGATGATGCTGCTGATCATGACGACGATTATGAGGATGAGGATGATGAGTACGAGGATGACGATCATGATGATGACGATGATAATGATGATGATCATGATGATGATGCTGATGCTGATGCTGATGCTGCTGCTGATGATGATGATGGTGATAACGATGACGATATTAATGCTGATGCTGCTGATGACGATGATGTGATTAATTGTGATGGTGCTCAGAATGATGGTGGTGATGGTAATGGTGTTGATGCTGATGATGTGATGATGATGATGGTGACGATCACGGTGATGATCACGACGAGGAGGAGGAGGAGGTTGATGTTGTTTGTGACGATGATGGTGCTGCGGATGGTATTGGTGATGATTATGGTGATAATGAAGCTGATGATAATGATGATGATGATGCTGCTGATGGTGATGATGATGGCGGTGGTGATGATGATGAATGGTGATGGTGATGATGATGTGCGAGCAGATCATGTCCGAGCAGATGTGAGGATCGCGCGGCATCGCCGATGTATCGGCGGCGCTGGCGATGCATTAGTGACGTCGCCGTGGAGACCATCGGGCTCCATAACGAGCCGCATCGCCGATGCATCGGCGATGCGGCGTGATCCTCGGCCTCGTCTACTCGGAACCCAGATGGGAGGCATGGATTCTCACCCTTCCTCCTCTTTTTCATCATCACCACCACCGCCATCATCATCATCATCATCATCATCATCATCATCATCATCATCATCATCATCATCATCATCATCATCATCATCACCATCACCATCACCATCACCATCACCATCACCATCATCATCATCATCATCCTCATCCTCATCCTCATAACCATCACCATCACCAACATTACTATCGCCGTCGTCGTCGTCGTCATCGTCATCGTAATCGTCACGCACCTCACGTCCGGATTGCGCACAGAGTGACCCTGCCGATCCGTCGAGGGACTCCCGCTCCGCCTCCTCATAATCGTAGTCGTCTTCGGTGTGATCGTCACCGTCATCGTCATCATCATCAGCACCATCCCTCATTATCATCATTATCACCATCATCGTCGTCGTCGTTGTCCTCCTCGTCCTCGTCGTGGTCATGTTCGTCGCCATCATCGTCTTCGTCCTCGTCCTCGTCGCTGGAAACCCCCTCCACAGCTCGGCACAGAGCCGCGCTCTGTCGCAGGCCTGGGTGCGCCTCCGAGATTCGGTTCCCCCCCCTGTGGCGCGTGCACTTTTCGGAGCTCGGGGCCCCGGAAGTGGATGGGGTGCGGGAGTGGAGGGAGATGGGAACGGGGCTTCATTACGATCTAGATGGGGGCGGAAAGAAAGGGTCCAAAGACCAACAGCAGTCGTTGTCCGTTTACAGACAGGACTCACTGTCAGATGTCGCCGCGGACGTTGTCAGTTCGGGACAAACTGCGCCCAGCCAACAGTGGCCGCTCCAGGGTTTGGACAACGTTTGCTGTTGGGCTTCGGTATTTTTTTGTTGGGAAAGGGGGAGGGTCGGCCGGGGAGCTTGCTGAGGTCATGATCTGCGGGCCCACGGGGGAAGGAGATCCGTGCTCTCTCCTTTTGTTACTTCTCTTTCTCGCTCTCTCTCTGTTTGTCTGTCCGTCTGTCTGGCTGTGCGTCTGCCTGTCAGTCTGTCTGTCAGTCTGTCTGTCAGTCTGTCTTTTTTTTTGTCAGTTTGTCTGTCTGTCTGTGTGTCGGTCTGTTTGTCTATCTGTCTGTCTGTATGTCTGTCTGTCTGTCTGTCTGTCTGTCTGTCTGTCGGTCTGTCTGTCTGTCTGTCTGTCTGTCTGTCTGTCTGTCTGTCTGTCTGTCTGTCTGTCTGTCTGTCTCTCTCTCTCTCTCTCTGTCTCTGTCTCTGTCTCTGTCTCTGTCTCTGTCTCTCTCTCTCTCTCTCTCTCTCTCTCTCTCTTTCAATATATATATATATACACATCTAAGATAAGCTGTTCCACCATCGGGGCGCCTGTCCCAGGGCGGCTGGAAAACTTATGCCCCGTCGTGCCGCCGTAGGGGTACAAATTTTCCACCCGCCTGGGGCTGGCGTCCCCAGTGGTGGGACAAGGTATATCCATGCAGTCAAGACGTTGGAATACGGACCACTTTGGGCTCAGAGGGGCTCGGGTTTCCGGACCGTTCCCAGACTCGTGTCGCGGAACCGGTTTGTGGCCCAGGCCCGCCGTGGCCAGAACAGCCCCTTCGTTCCCTATCATGCGTTCCTGATATAGTAAAACGGTGACTTTGCCGCTCTGCGTTCACCAGGCAGCTGATTGGCGGCGCATTCTGGGGCCTCTGCGGCCACACGCGGGCGGGCAATGAGCTGGGGTCTGGTGCCCGCGCCACGCCCCCCAAAGACCCGTCTGGATGCGTTCCAGCCTTGGACCGGAGCTGTGAATCCAAAGGTTCTGGTGCTCCTCTTGTCAGCGGGGGGGGCAGGCTAGCTGCGCCTCAGTTTACCCATCGGGGCATGGCCAGTGCTTCTTTGGCTTGCTCGGCATGGCTGTCGGGTGTCATGGTCGTCGCGGGAGGCCGCCTTCTCTCGGCGCCGTGGTCGTGATCGGGCCGCAGCTCGGCTCTGGGTGGTACTTGCAGCCTGGCCCATCGAGGCGTAGCTGCTGGGCCCATCGGGGCTCGACAGTTCAGCTTCTCATCGCATCGGCTGGGCCCGTCGGGGCTCGGCCTCCCCTGCCTCGGCAAGGGCTGGGACAGCGTGCCCGGTATGCTAGGGCCCAGGGACGTGGGCCGCACCATCAGGACCCTCAGGACCCTCCTTTTCCTTCTCCTCCTCCTCCTCCTTTCCCTTTCCCTTCTCCTCCTCCTTCTCCTCCTTTTCCTTCTCCTCCTCCTTCATGTTGCATGTTGCACGCTACTAAGGGGAGTCCGTGCACTCCACGGGCCCGACAGCGCGATCAACAATGTGTGATCCGCTGGGCTGGTACTCCGAGGGCCCGCGCACAGTCCTCCTGCGATCGGGCAGCCAGGGAGCACGGCCACCGATGCAGTCCTTGCGGCAGCCGTCCTCGAAGCATGCTGGACCTGGCCTTCTTCCCTGTGCTTGTGGGGGGGCGGCAAGGTTCTTTCAACTTGCAGGCTTTGGTGGCTGAGACCCCCCCGCGCCTGCTACAAAAGGCACCCCCACGGAGGCTATGGAGGCGCGGGAGGTGGGTCTCGTGGAACACCTGGGCATGATTAGGCTTGCATGGGGCATCAGTCCAAGACTCCTTGGTCCCACGGATCGGATACCGAAAACACACTTTGCACCGCAACCCTTCGGGAACCTCTTCGAGGATGTGCTGTGCATGGCCCCACTTCTCGGGGGCCTTGACCCGCCCCCTCTTCTTGGGAGCGGCCGCGCGATCATGGCGAAATCTTTTGAAACACAATGTGTTTTTAATGTTTTTCAGAAGCGATATCAGCAAAACATATGAAAACATCTGATTTTCTCATATCACAATTGTGCAGGATCGCCCTCCGCGTCCATCCTGAATCATTGAAGAACCAAGCTGGGGGCGGGGCGGGGAAAACCTCCCAGAAAAACTCCTGGATGGCGGCTTCTCGGTTTTGGATGAGCGAGAGCTCGCGATCGGCATCTAAAACTGGCTTGGTCACCCCATCTGGAAGCTGCACTCGTTCAGCAGCGTCACTAGCTATCTGGTCGGCAAGCTGGTTGGCCAAGTAGGCCCAGGGCTGGATATTATAGCCCCAGAAATCCGACTCCGTGGGGTGAGACTTGGTTTTGTGTAACTCCATGGTCCCGTCGAAGCCCTGGTCGGCCTCCCAGACATCTTGCCACAAGTCAACGTTACTGTCTCCACTGGGGCTCCTTCAGAACTCCGCGGTAAACCTGGGCTGAATCTGTCACGATGGTGAGCTCACATGCGCGGTTCCGGATGGCCTGAATCACCGCGTAGAGCTCCCCGCGGTTGATGGTCTGCTTTCCTGGCAGGCCTCCTCGCAACGTTCCTATGGTCTCAAGATCGGCGTCTTTCACTCCAACCCCCCAGCCTGAGGGTCGTTGGGAAAACGTTCCCCACTAGCGTCCGTCCCCACTAGGAACTTGCCTTTGATGGGCCCGCCCTGGATCATGAAGGTCCCCGTGACCCCGATGGTGGCTCTGGGTGGAGGGTGCTCCAGGTGTCCTGTCGCAAGGTCAGCTGGTTGCAGTCCTCGACCCCACTTCACAGGATATGAAGGAAACTGATCAATAGCCTTCTGGACAAGGTGCTGGGAGTCGAGGATAGCATCATCCGCACTCCTCTGCAAAACTGGGCACGTCCAGAAACGGTGAAGGTCATCTTCAATCGGTGCTCCACACCTGGCACATCTGGCAGACTGGCATGGTATACAGTCGTGAATCCAAGCGTCAGTCCAAATCGATGCTTTCCCCAGGGCGCACAGTGCTTTGGCACGGGTAGGCTGCCCATCGTTCCGACGCTTTCGGCAGGTTTTCTGGAACTGGTAGGTATCGATCCCATACTCGGCGCCCCCTCCAAGGTGAAATTGTGAGCCTCTTTTGGCCTGGTTGCTGCGGTGCGGCATTATTTTCGCGCCCTGCCTTGCGCAGTGCGGTGTGCCCCCTGCTGCCAACCAACCTGCGCCTCGCTTGGCCCGGTTGCTGCAGTGCGGCATTGTTTTAGCGTCCTGACCCGACCCCGTTTGCCTTGGGGGAGCGGTCCAGCAACCCTTGTGACGCTCAGGAGCGGCCCCCAGTCTTTTGGTGCGCGGTGCCTTTCCAGAGAGCCCTGGACACGTGCTCGCCGAAGTCGTCCAGGAAAAAGGAAAACGGCTTGGGCCTTGAGGTCTCCAGGAACCAATTTATATCGTTTTCCGCCAGGCAAAATCCATCCCCAGGGCCCCACCAGGTACACGTCTAGAGGGTAGCGATCAGGGCGGAGAAGAGGGAGGTAACGTTGCTCCATCTCGTCCTGCGCAACGGTGGGAGTCCATCTCTTACCTGTGGCTTTGTGCAGCTCGGGGTTCTGGTTGACCAAGTCGAATCAGGAGGTGGCAACTTGCATTGGCAGATAGTGCGCAGGATTCTCCTGCTGCTGGCCTCGAGCGGACAGGGCAAAACCTGCTGTCGTGCAACCGTACTTGGGAACATATCCTAGCACTCGAACGAGTCGCCCACGGACTTGCTTGTGAACCGACGGCGCGATGCCCTGCCCCTGCTGACCCCAAAAGAGTTGCGGACGGGCTCCCGTGTTGACCAACCTCCGACTTTTCTTGGTGGCCCTTGTGAACCTGGTAATCTCGTTGAGCCTCTGGGGCCCCTTCTTCATACGCGCCTTCCGAATCTTAAGTCGCCTGCGGAGCACCATGGTGGTGTCCAGGCCGAGGTCCCTCCCGTGAATGCTGGTCTTCACCGCCCATCCCATCTCCTCAGTCTTGTAGCTAAGTTGAGAGCCGAGTCCAGGGACCGACGCCAAGACGCAGGACTTGGGGGAGAGCTTGCAAGCGTGGGCCTCGAGCTGCTTACCTCGGAACTCGATGGCCTTCGGGGTAACCTGGAGGATTTCCTTGGTGGAGCCCCACACTCTCAGTCTTGAGTCATCGACCCGTGTGCGGAAACGTACCCGAGGGAACTGATAATGCATATTCCAAGATGTTCTATAGGAAAGTTCGGGCGAGGGAGGCCGATTGCGTGCACCCCTGCAGGGCGCTTTCGGTGGGGCAGGTCGGCGACGAACATCCGATCGAAGCCGACGACAGAAATCTGGCGGCCTGGTGGACAATCATCGCTAACAGGAGCGGGGTGGTGGAGTATTCAAGCTTGATGGCAGCCCCACATGCATATTCTGTGCAAGTAGTGTAAAAGAACTTCTCAATGTCCACCAGCGCCTCTGCTAGCGGAATCTGTAAACTGGCGGCCAGCTCGGCAGACACCTCGCTCAGAAGGGCGGCGCGGAGGCATGGGGAACCTCGGACCGCCTCGTCCCAGAAGCCTGCTTTTTAGCATCCCACTCAGTGAGTCCTGGACGATCAAGTTTCACCAGGACCCGATAGAAACTGTTGGCGTGGGTGATGGGACGGTCGGATTCGATTAACTTTGGGAGGAGGCGCACCATATGGATCAAGACCTGCGCTGGAAACTTAAATGTCTTCTGAACCTGGTTGATCAGGTCGGTGAAGGCGGTCCTGTCCTCCGGCGGCAGGGCATCCAGTTCCCGCTGGTTCCATAGGTCAGCGCCTCCTGCCGAGCTGGGGCTATACCTAAGTTTGACTTGAAACACTTCTTCTTCGGTCCAGTCGGGCTCCTGGGCGGCCTTCTGGAGGGCGACTCTTCGAAGCTCAACAATCCAGGGGGTATCCTCAGGGCACTTCCGTGGACCTTTGGGGCTCCAGAACCTCTCCCAGTAGGTGAGCTTATTCTGCATGATCAGGATCGGGTCATCCGAAAGGGCTCCACTGATGGGGATGACGTCTTGCTCTTCAATCACAGTGGCCCCCCCTTGCTTGGTGATGGCGTGTGAGATTTTGCCCCCTTTCCTCAGGTCCTCCTCAATCCACTCCTGGAAGGCCTTCCGAGACGCCTGAATTTCGATCTTATGGAAGCGTCGAGAACTCTTTTTCCAAGTACCCCCCGAGAGTCTGACCCGAACCAAGCTGGACATTGACCTCGAAAACCTTTAAGTCCGAGAACTGGCTTGCGCAATATTCAAAAATGACATGCTTAACCTCGCCGTCGACATACTCTGGCCATCTAAGTTCGGGAACGATTTTACTTATCGCTGCCTGCAGTGCAAAGACTTGTGCGCGCGGCCCTGGGCGTCGCAGGAAATGATCGCGATCCTGCGCTTGATCAATAAGAACTTGCCATCGACTGGCGGCACTGGTGGCGAGCCCCGTCTGCGGCGCCGGCGGGAGCAGAGGTCGCCTAACAAAGCGGGCGCACTGACCTCGGCTCGGCGGACGTGGGGCCCCCACCTTGTTGTGGGTTTCCTGCAATTCCAAGGCTCTACTCAACACTGCATGACTTCTGGTAATCTGCTTGCTGACATGCTGGGCACAGACAGGGTAGGTGGGAAAGAGATCCATGTTCTCCTCATCCTCCTCCGCCCTGTCGTAATAGTATTCCCAAGGGTGCTTCACCCCGAGGTACTCTTTAGGGAGGGGAGCAGCCCGACTGCATGCCGACATCTCCATCTGTGCGACTGCGCGTGCCAGAACGCCTGTCACGCCTAAGTGTGGTTTCCACGGGTCCTCCAAGACTGCCGTGAGAGATGTATCGAGAGCAAGGCGTTGATCAATTACAAAGTATTCCAGCATGCGGCGCCCGTTCGAACAGGTCCACGTGGTATTAGCTGGGGTGACCACGACCCCTCCAACCCAGTAAAGCCACTTCATGTGTTTCTCAAGATCCTCTGGAATGACGTTCCAGTCCCCCGCGATGAGGAAGGGGATCTTCTGCGTGCGAACGTGGGAGGTGATTTCCATGACGATATCACGATTTGCCTGGTTCATCCCCACACCTGAAATCAGATATACAGCAACCACCAGGAACTTCACCCCATCGAGTTTTTATGCAACTGGTCCAGCGGGTCCCCGAGGCAAGAGGCTTGATATGACCCTTGGCCCCCATGACCCGCGCGTGTGAGGATAGGTGGGATCGCGCCCCGAGAAGGATCCCCCCTTGGCTCCCCTGGGCCCTAGGTGTGGCTGGGCAGACGTAGGTCTTCCACCCATTCTTCTGAAACTTCTTCCGATCTTCCCCGTGTCGGTCTAGAGTGAGATGTGTTTCCAACAGGATGCAAACATCGGCCTGGAAACGAGAGTCTAACATATACTTCCTGGCAGTATCATTCCACGTAGTGATATTGGCGGCATAGAGTGCTAACGATCCCCCCCTCCCACTTGCATTCCCTTTCGCCTGTGAGAAGGACGGGTAGCCAAAATCGGCCGCGTAATCAAAGCACTGGCACGTCGGGCTGGCGCCTGGGGCCTCGCGCGGAGCTTCGGAAAGCATGGCCGTCACGAGCATTGTGAGGCGCACCATCATCGCCATCAACTTCGGCGGTCTCGCGCCTGGGGCTGGTGCTGCGCCGCTCTGGCGGCGACGACTCCCCGCGCCTGGCCGCGCGGGCCCCGCGGCCGCCGCTGCCGTCGGCCGCTGCCGCGCCGCCAGCGGCGGCCTGGCGGGCGGTGCGGGCCACTGCGGCTGGGGGCGCCGCGGCCGCGGCGGCAGGCCCGGGCGGCCGCAACGCGCCACCGGCCCCGACGGGCCGCGGCGGCCGGGGCTGGGCCCGCCGCGGGCAGGCCGAGGCGCCCCGCGATGGCGGGGTGGGCGGCCGGGAACTGGGCGAAGACCTGCTGGTCGGCTGCGCCCATGGCCGCGGCCCTCTCGCCCCGCGGCTGCGGCGGCGGCGACGGCCTTGCTCCGCCGCTGGCCCCATCGCCGCATCGCCCTCGGGGCGCACCGTGGCGGCCCACTCCCTGGGCTTGGCTGCGGCCTCCTCCTTGGCGGCAACCTCCTGGGCCACGGCGGCGCCGAGGGCATCTTCTGCCTGCTGTAGTTATTCGCGTAACTTGTCGACACGCTGCTGGCACGCGGCCTTGTAGGCTGTAGCTCTCTGCATGGCCCCATCGGCAAGCCCGACCTGCTGGGAGAGGAGCGTGCCCCGATCGGTGGCCAGGTCCTCCCCTTCCTCGTCCTCGCCCGCGGCGAGGTAGTTCTTCTTGAAGGCTTCCAACTGTGGGGCCCCAGCAGCCCCTGCAAGCCCTGCAAGATCCGCTGGAGGTGCGGGTCCTCGGCGGGGGCGGCCTCGGGCTGCTGGCCGAGGAGGATGTTCCCGCACTGGCACAGCGGGTCCTTGTAGGCACGCGTGAGCCACTTCCACTTGCCACGTGTGCCGCACATCAGGTACTGCTTGTGCTGCTCCTGCTTGGTCCACTCCCCGTTCTTCCCCTTGGACAAGTCCTGCCAAGTGGCGGACCATCCGCCACGGCGACCATTGCGCTGCGACTGCTTGCCGCTGCGCGCCGAGCTCCAGCCTGCCATCGGACGGGGCGAGACTGGTCGGTGGCCGAAATGGCCGTCACTGCTGGCCGCGCTCGAGCGAGGTTGGGAAGTTCAGGAGCAGGCCCCTGGAGCCAAAATGGCTACGGCTTCTTCTCCTCCTCCTTCTCCTCCTCTTCTTCCTTCTCCTCCTCCTCCTCCTCCTCCTCATCCTCCTCCCCCCTGGCGCTGATACGCTCTTGTGGTTCATTCGTATCGCGTCATGCTCCATTCATGAAGCCCGAGGCTGGGCAGGGTGACGAGTGGATCGGCTGGATGACCGTCGCACCCTCCCCTTTCGCTGCCTTCTCCCTCTCTAAAGAAGGACGAGCCTTCCTGGAAGGTCAGGGCTCTCGCCTGGCAAGGGCCAGCTCGCCCTCCATTGCCTGCTGCCAGCGGCGCTCGCCCGGGCTGCCGGCGCCGCGCGGGGAAGCGCGGCGGCCGCCAGACGGCGAGAAGGGCGTGGTTATCTCCAAGGGCGGCAAGAAGGGCAAGGGCAAGGGCAAGAAGGGCAAGAAGGGCAAGGGCAAGGGCAAAGGCCAGCTGCTCGGGGATCGCATGGGGGCCAATGGCAGGAGCGAAGGGACTGGGAGGGGCGTGGGGAGCAGGGGCAGGCAGAAGAGCGGGCCGACCACAACTAGCGGCAGGGTTCGGAGACTGGGGGGGGAGAGGAGATAGTAGGAGGCGGAGGGGGAGAGGAGGTAGAAGGGATGAGAAGAAGGAGGAGGAGGAGGAGGAGAAGAAGAAGCAGCAAGGGGAGGAGGGGGAGCGGGAGGACGAAGATGAGGAGCACGAGAGATGATAGAGATGAGGACGATCTTGCTGAGGAGGACGAGGACGAGAGTAAACGCAGCGTGCGCCAACGATGTTGCAACGCACCCTTCCGTCCCTAGTCTTACGTCTCTTCTCTCTACAGGAGGAATAGCCAAGAATAGTCAACAAATAGTCTGGCGACGATTTATTGTTTAAATCATTGTTGAACTATGTTTGGATATTGCGGACTATCATGTGTTTTCCCTCCAAAGTCCGCCTGTAGGGGGGGGCATGCCCGATCTGTGCCAAGTCCCCTCCTCAGACGCTCCCTCAGAAGCCCTCGGATGACGAGCGCCGTGTGGGCCTGCCACTCAGGCGATGCCCTGTTTCGTAGAGGATGCTGCCCTCCCTCGCTCCAGCGGAATTCTGGGATGCCCCGTTTCTTGAAGGATTCGCCCTGTCCCCCTCTTGCGCTTCCTCGTGGCCAGAAGCCGGCTACACGGAGGCGCCATCAGGGACGAGCATGAAGTTTCCAGGGGAGGCGTCCAGCGACGGCCCCGTGTGGAAGATGAGCGGTGCCCTCCCCCCGAAGCGCACCTGCTCCACGGCCCGCAATGGAGGTCGGGCATGTCCCCCATGCAGGCGGAGTTTGGGCAACAGCATAAAAGACAGCCCAAAAATAAGGAGACCCAGCAGAAGTATCGCCTCCGCACTATGTGTTGCCTATGTTTGGAGGTTCCTCTTGAAGAGGGACGTGCCCGACGTAAAACTAGATGCCTGGCAGCACAATCAACGGACATCTCAAGCGATAGTCTCATGTTGAGAATGAGCCGCCCTCCATCCGCTTAAGCGTTACATCTCTGTTTGGGGCGTCGTGCCATCTGGTGTGAGCAAGGGTCAAGCGGGAGCCGCATTTCGGCAACGAATTGGTATGTGTATATATATATATACACATCCTTGTAGTTGGTGGTTCGGAGCTCTTACAAGACAAGTGCGTCGCGCAACGACACAAGAGCTACAGTTTGGAAAGTACCCGCCCCCGTTATTGCACAGCCGTCGCGCTTTAGCACTGAACGTGCGTGGGTGGGGATACGGCGATAGCCGCATTTTGAAAACCACCAGCCCTACAGCTTTGCATATCAAGGACTGTGCGCAGGAGGCGTTAGGCCTAGGATGATTCCTTATCTCATGAGGGCGGTGGTGATATCCATGGTCAATCCACGGCTGAAGGATTCCTTGTCCAATGGTTCCTTATCCAGTGCCCTCACTGCACCTGCTGCATCTAGCTGGCCAGTTTAGCTTCATGTCCGCGCTGCTGCTGCTCCTGCTGCCGCTGATGATACTCATGATGATGATGCTGCTGATGATGATGCTGATGCTGATGCTGATGCTGATGATGATGATGATGATGATGATGATGATGATGATGATGATGATGATGATGATGATGATGATGCTGATGCACTGCTCTCGGTTGTTGCGTGGAGCGAGCCCCAGTAAGACGTACACAGAAACAGGGTCAACACGGAGACCCATCTTTCCCCCGATCCTCTCTCTTGTCTCTCCTCCTCCCAGGCAGGAGGAACAGGAAGAGAGGGAGGATGAGGTGGAGGAGGACGGAGGAGCGCAGGGGAGAGGGGGGGGGGAGTGCGGAGAGGCGGCGAGAGGAAATTGGGAAATATGGTATAGAACATAGAAGTAGAGCCGCGGGACCAGGAGGAGGAGAAGGAGGAGGAGGTGGAGGAGGAGGGAGGGAGAGGATGAGGAGGAGGCGTAGGAAGAGAAGAAAAGGAAGAGGAGGAGGAGGAGGAGGAGGAGGAGGGAGAGGGGTCAGGATTCGTTGTTCGGCATCAGCGCTCAAACACCCTTGTCACAGAGGGTACCCGTGAGGACACAGAAAACCAAGCCGCCGACGAAGAGGAAGCCGACCGAGTCCACACCAGAATCGTGAGGAACAGGTGCAGGATCTGCACCAGCAAGAAAAGGACAAAGTGCACCTAGACCTTCACACTGAAGTAGTCGCCCCGTCCACGAGGACCCTCCGCATACGTACCTAGGTGTGCTGTACCGGATTTCAGGAATTACCAAGCTGTGTTATGTCGAAACCCGAGACAACAAGGACAGGATCGCACACAGCAAAACACGCGCCACCATGCACGCAGGATCGGTTACAGCAAAACAGATGACACCTTGGAAACCGCGTTCCGAAGCTCATCGCCGTGACCAGGAATGCAATGTTGGGTGAACGTCTGAATCACTCCGAGGTCAAGCGAAGAGACACCCTTCACCAGGGTCGGGCGGCAGCCCCTGGAGAGGCGCGCGCCCTGCCGCGGCGGACGGCGGGCTGCCGCGGCAGACGCGGCCCCTCCTCCTCCTCCCCCTCCTCCTCCTCCAGAACGGGGGGCCAGAAGCAGAGGCAGCTGCGGCCTGACCAGCTTGACCATCGGCACCGGCATCGGTGGCGTCGCGGCGCAGCCTCCTATGCGTAGGGAGGCGCTCTTGGCGATCTCTCCCCTGACTGCTCCACGACAGCAGCTGCTCCTCGACCACGAGACCTGTGCTGCTCCACGGCCGCCTCATGGATGGACCGATGTCATCGCGCCAACATCGCAGAGCGGACTTCGTTCGGAAAACAATCGGATTGGCCCGGATTGTTCTGGAGAATGTCGTTCCGGATTTCGAAGGGAATTTCGCGCGGGTTTTTTGGTCAGGAATGAAGACTGCAAACACTCCACGTGAAATTCAGTTTGTTTTTCGTTCGCCGTTTTGGGATTTTGCGTTGACAGAAATCCACGCGAAAATCCGCTGCAGCACGTCTGCAAGGTCGGTGCAATGACCGATGCGAGCGGAAAGCCTCAGCCGCTCTCCGTGGAATGCCGATGCCCCTCGCGCACTGTCGGACGCCTCCTCGACCGACAGGCGGAGACCACGGCACCGCGGGTGCACCCGAGGCCGTCGGGCGCCACGGCAGTGTCAAGGACCGGGTGGCCAGGGCAGCGTCGGCGCGCAAGGCGCGGTGCCTTGCCCTCGACTGCACGTAAGAGTGACCCTTCGCCGGAGTGACCTGTGTCGCGGGCTCACCGGGGCACCCCCGATCGCTTATGCGCGATGCGATGGTGGCTGCTTGCGCGCTTGGATTTGGCAGCCTTGCGCCCCCTGACTCCGCGCACTAAAGGTCACTCTTGCCTAGGGCCACTCTTGCGTGAAGCCGATGCCCTTCCAGCGCGACCCGCCGCACGGCGACGACCACGAGGACGACGGCTTCTGGGCCGTGACGCTGCAGGCGGCTGAGCGTGGGACCCCCCGCCTGCGCGAAGTCCGAGGCAGGGGTGCGACACTCGTGGGAGGCCAGGCTGCGCCGCGCAACCGGGAGAGCCAGAGCCCCTCGCGTCGTGAAGCAAAAAACAATACGGGCGCGTTGCTGCTATGTTGTGCCGCTGGAGGCCCTGGCTGGGGCCCCAGACCGTCACCAGACCGACTCAGGACGAAAAACCAGTCCTGGGGAATGGTCCAGGCCCGCGGGGGTCCACGTTGGGGAAAAATCGCGACGTCGGTTTGTCTGGGGAGGAGGGGGGGGTCCTTCTGGACAACGGTCCGCGGCGAGGACCAGCGCCACAAGACGAAGCCTCGCGAGCAGCTCGCCCCCATCTCCTCTTCCTGCCCGGTCAACGACTCCAGCGCCGCACGGGTAGCCGCAGCGTCCTCACGCGCTGCCGCCAGCTGCTCCTGGAGCCGCTGGGAGGCAGAGACAGCAGCAGCCGCAGCGGCGCGCTGGGCGGCACGGTGCTCATCCGCCGAGCGCTTCCAAGGGCTCTCCAGAGCCTCCTTCCGTACAGCCATTCCTCGCCCAGCTCAGACGGCTATGTGGACCTCCCCCCCGCCCGCCTCGCCCGCCCACAACACCGCAAGCGGTGAAGAGGTGACGACGGCCGAGAGGGTCCAGGAGGACTCGAGCAAGATTGGCTTGAGCCAAACTGGGTGCGGAGGGGGAGGGAGCAGGATGGTGAGGAGGAGGGAGCGGGAGCAGGAGCAGGAGGAGTAGGAGTAGGATGAGCAGGAGCAGGAGCAGGCGCAGGAAGAGGAGGAGAAGGAGGAATAGGAGGAATAGGAGGAATATGAAGAGAAGGAGGAGGAGGAAGAGGAGGAGGAGGAGGAGGAGGAGAAGGAGGAGAAGGAGGCACCCCGCCAGCCTCGCGTTGGGGGGTCTGGCGGTGGGAGAACAAGGAAGTGACAGGCATGCTCCCGGGCAGCACCCAGCGCACTGCGGGACTGCCGGGGCTCCCCGCCTGCGCGGGAGTCTCCATGCTGGGGGCCCGCCGGGTGGACCCCTCCGCGGGGGCTCAAGGCTGGGCGCCCCCCGCGTCAGCGTCGGGCGTCGGGCGTCAGCCTGAAAGCCGTCGGCCCCGGGGAAGGTACGCAGGCCGGGCGTTAGGGGGCCCGCCTGCGAGTAGGTGCCCGCGCCGGGCGGCCCGGCCGGGCGCGCGGCCGGGAAGGAAGGAAGAAGGAAGAAAGGAAGGAATGGAGGAGGAGGAGGAGGAGGAGGAGGAGGAGGGGGAGGAGGAGAAAGAGAGGAGAGGAGGAGGAGGAGGAGGAGGAGGAGGAGGAGGAGGAGGAGGAGGAGGAGGAGGAGGAGGAGTATATATAGCGAGCGATCACAATGATCCGTACCGATGACAGTGGCCAGCCCAGGGTGGCGCACACCCAACCACCTACGCCACCTGGGCAGGCTGGGGGATGACGGGAGGCGGAGGAGGGCAGGCAGGGGGCGGGAGAGAGGCTGGGCGG